AACAATTGGAGAAAATCGGAGAAACTCTATCTTACTTTGGTGACAGGGGAGAGTTGTTAGCTTCTTTTCCATGTTGTAGTCTTTAAGACATACTGCACATGTCGAAGAAGTGCTCGTCGTGTGAAATTCGCGAACGCGTCGCGTGCATGTGTGGGTGTTCTCTCTTCTAATCCGATGCCTTCGGACAACGAAACAGGTGGCCAAGAAAGCCGACATGGCGAAAGGAATTACAAAGGAGATAGCCACAATATTGCACCATGTGGAGTTTCCGGAGCTCGCGTCTGTGGGGCCCACGTATTTCGCCAGGGTTTCTCCGGAAGCTTCCGAGACGACGAACACCACCGGTATCTTTATTATACCACCTGAATTTCCACCCACTGCAAACAAAAAAAAAAAAATCATATATCAACCATCAATACATCTTACATATAGATGATCAATACTTAACAAAAACATGAATAAATCCATATTGTACAAATTTCAATAAAAATAACAGCCTGAATGAAACAATTAATAGTAATTAATCAAACTAACCAAAATTAGATTCATGTTGGGATTTATTATTTAATATAGTATTTAATTATTAGTTAGTTAGTATTTTATTATTAATTAATTAGAATAGTTTATTTAGGATATATATTTAGCCGTATGTTTAGTGATTAGGGATTATTAAGTATTTTATTAGTATAGGTAATTATCTTTCCTAGTTAGATTAGGATTCTAGGGTTATTATCTTTAAATAGTCGTCTTGTGCTAGGGTTTTGATTATGCAGAGAAATAATAAAGAATAGTTTTCTTACGTTTCGTAAAGAATTCTTATGATACACAAGAGATCGTATCAATTGGTATCAGAGCGAAGTTGCGATTAACACCAACGCTTCGTTAGCAAGGCAGCGATTATATCAAAGCTACGCTGGAGCAAAGTTGAGATCACATCAAAACTTTGTGAAATCACGATGTCAGAAACAAGACGGTTGGAGCGATTGGAAAAATCCGTAGAGAAATTACGGATCGATTTTCAGAAATTACTCGAACAAAGTCACGGACGACGTCAACGCCAACACAAAAGCCGAAGGGACCGCCGCCCATCACCGCCAACGCCACCGCTACCATCACCACCGCCGTTGCCGAGCCTGTGGCCGAAGGGAGAGGAAGAGGACGACGATGATTTTGTCGAAGAGCCCCGATTTTTTATGAGTTCGCCGAAAGAAGAATTACCGGATTCGGTAGAAGTAATTTGGGATGAAGACGAGAAATTAACCAATAAGGAGATTGAAGAATCACTCGTCTTAAGTGAGATAATTTGGAAAGGGCACGAGGAGTTAAGTAGCGAGGAGGACGAAGAATTAAAAAATATATTGGAAGGATGCCACAACTTCCAAAATAAAGAAGACGAACGAGAGTTGGTGATTGTGAATGAGCCGGAACGTGAAGATGCTTATTTTTCGGGAAACATATTGAGTATTTTCGCAAAAGTAGCCTTTGGAATCTCTTGGGGTCAGCAAGAGCCATGTGTTAAAGAGTTTGGTCGTTCATCGTGTTTTTCGGAGTCAATCGGGAAGCAAGTCGATGAGGTCAAACATAGGTGGAAACACAAAGGAGAGGGACCAAATTGATTCGAACCTTGAGGACAAGATTCATTTCAAGCGGGGTGGAATGTTGGGATTTATTATTTAATATAGTATTTAATTATTAGTTAGTTAGTATTTTATTATTAATTAATTAGAATAGTTTATTTAGGATATATATTTAGCCGTATGTTTAGTGATTAGGGATTATTAAGTATTTTATTAGTATAGGTAATTATCTTTCCTAGTTAGATTAGGATTCTAGGGTTATTATCTTTAAATAGTCGTCTTGTGCTAGGGTTTTGATTATGCAGAGAAATAATAAAGAATAGTTTTCTTACGTTTCGTAAAGAATTCTTATGATACACAAGAGATCGTATCAATTCAATGTATTGAAAACATGAAGTAACGTTGTAACGGAGTGTCGAAACGACATCGCAGTAAGCTCCGATCGAAGAACCAATCATTAAACAGAAAAGACAGCAAAGAAATAGCCTGGATTTCAACATCTCTTTCAGCCCTAATTGAAAACCCCTTAATTATTTCTAGTGGGATGATTTTAATATGTACAGTGGTTCTTCTAGGGCTATTTGATTATCCGTGTTATATTTGGAGTATTCTTCTTCACAATTAGGACACAATATAACTTTGTACCAATCAAAATTTAAATTTAATTATTTATATTAAATTACGGGGGCAATATTTCAAAAGTGGGAAAATTAATTATTTAAATAAATTACAATTAACAATTATAATTAAAAAAAAAAAAAAGAGATTGATGTTGCAAGGCTTCTACACGATAAAGTTTGAATTTTGAACATTTTTATAAATTTGTTCTTGACGACGTCGTTTTGGAGAGGTGAAATAGATTGACCAAAGCTGAGGACTTTTGTGTTGACTCGGGCCGGAAAAAATGGGGAATTCGGATATTAAAAGCCCAATACTTGAAAATGGGCTGGATTGAATTATTGGGCTCAGTTGATGAAAAGCTGAAGGAAACATTTTAATTAATTAATTATTTACTAATATAAAACTATATTTTAAATGTTGCATGTAGAAGTAATTTTAATGCATGTAATTTCCGGCTTTAAACTTCCAACAAACACACCTTTTGCAAGTGTTGGACTAATTAATTAGCTATAATAATTTTATTGCTATAGAGTCCATATTTAAGTGAAACTATATATTAGGGGCGAATATTAAAATTAAAACATTGCTTTCATGACCATTATATACAATTGTAAGTGTAAGTCAACCAGAATCTCAAGGTTAGGTGTGGCATTAGTGTTTTTAATTCATAATTAACATATTGTAATTAAGTTTGTTTATGTATACGAGTCGTCGATTTCAAATTATGTGTCGGTACGTACCTCTTATTGATTATTAATATCTCTATTTGTATCGTAAGGGGTTTCGAAAATTCGAAATCATACAATGCAAAAAAAAAAAAAAAAATCTACATATATAAGTCGAAAATATATTACTTAAAATCAGTGAAATTTATTTCTTTCACACGTAAGTCGTAAGATCGAGTATTGCTATAGTTACAATTTATTACGAAATTTATTCATTTATTTTTCCTGTACGGAGCTAGCGAAAACTCCGGGCCCTTGTCCTCCATGTTCAAATTGTTACATCGTCTATATTTGGTTGGTAGCTTGTAAAATCAGACCAACAATAAATTCGATGCATTTACTGATCTTTATTGACTATTTTACATGTACGTGTGGTCGAAAAATTAAATTGAATTTTATCGAATATCGACTACTAAAAACTCGTTTGAACTCAGTTCACTAAACTTCAACTTATTTTTCTCGAGTTCAGTTAGAAAAAAAATGATATAATTTACTCTGTCGAGTTCGGTTCGACTTGATTTGATCACAGTGCTAGCTAGCTACATTATGAAACCCTAAATAATATATTTTTCTATTAATGTATATATGTTGTGTGTATGTATATTATACGTGAATTTTTATTGGGTATTAGTTAAACTTAGCTACAATAATATTTATTGTGTCGGCAAACAATTTAATTAATATAGAGTGTATAATCAGAAAGAAATTATGAAATGATTAGGTCACGTACATATTAATTATTGCTGCCGGTTTAATTAATTTATGAAATGATTAATTAGCTAAACGTCGAGTCGCTGTCGAATTTGATCACATTTGAGAGAAGCGAATATATATGTCATTAAGTCATAATTAGGTGGTACATTAAATTGCAAAATTCGTCTTTACATTGACTTAATTTGTGTTTTAGTTTCTAATTTTAATTGAACTAATCCTGCTGAATTGGTAATTCTTTTTACATAAGCTTGCTTATTAAGTGGAATTACCAAATTAGGCTCCAAATTATTATTTTACAACTTGTGAACATATCTCATAATTGTTCATCATTTCAAAACTTTGTCTTTCGGCACTCTAATTATTAAAGTAGCAAAACTTTTGCCTTTTTTTTTAAATTATTTATTTTTATATATATATATATATATATATATATATATATATATATATATATATATATATATATATATATATATATATATATATATATTTAATTTTTAGCTTCATAATTGTCCTACTAATTAACATATTTACATTTACTAATTAAACCTAAATAATCGTAATTTAATTATTTAATTCCATCAGTGGCATTTTTTTTAATAATTTGGCAAGTATCACAAGAAAGTCAAAAGCTAGAAGCCCCGGGAAATTCAAAGGAGAAGATATAAAATAGGGTTTTATATAACTTTGACCTCGAAAAAAGATAACATTAATTACCATTATTATTAATTATGTACACAAACTTTACCTAATTCCCATCCCCCCTCTTATAAAAGAAGGGTATATATATTTTATTATTTTATGATTTATTCGGCGAATTATATTCTATCATACACGTGTATAGATTGCTTGCATACATTTTAAACATATTCATGTGTAAGTAACTAAAATGCATGAAAAACTAGTCCATGGTGCAACATGTACAAAGAAGAAATTAAATCATATATATAGTGGCTACAATATTAATTAGTCTTAAATGATAATAATGTACATTAATTGTGGTCCTATTCTCACCCCTATACTTATTATTTATTATTTATTATTCTTTTAATGAAGGGAATCGCAGCCAATCATATAAGTGCACTCTCGTAGAATAGCTTACAAACTATACAAGAAACGTAAATTAAACTAGGCTAACTTATGTGGCAAACTCCATCTACCGACCGTTTGCAACGGAATTCGAACCTGAATCAAATTGACGTATTCCCACTTGTTTCGACCGCTAGATCATCTTTTGCGATCGAGACTCGTATACTTGTTATTATTATAACTCTCTCACATGGGTTTTTGTAACTTGTTCTCATATGTACATACTTCCAAATAACACCACATGCTGTCCAGAAAGGATACCACAAATTCCACTATATTGCAATTGCAAATGGTCTACATATAGGACAATTCTTTAATTTGTGCACATTATTAAAAAAAGAAATGGACACTTGCTCCTAGGAATGTTCAAAACTAAGATTTAAAAAAATTTACTAGAAATTTTACCACTAATAATACATTCAATATTCAAATATATAATATTATTGCAAGAAAATATTTCAAGAAGAGTGAAAATTAATTCGTGTGACAAATTAAAGTGCAAATTACATATTAATAGTAATCTATAGATATGGCAAAGCTACACTTATTTTAGGCCATATATATAAATTAATATACATACATTGATAAATTATTAATTAATTAATTAATAATGATGGTCCAAACCTTAGCTCGAACGGCGATTAAGAAGATAATGTGGGCTAGGTTGTCTACTAGGGAGATACACAATTGATTCAGAAACATTACAACTTCTCTTGCAAGAAGTGTACATGTTTATGAACCCGAATCTATCGCTTAAACTCCTCGTAATATTCTTCGATATGATGCTACTATCGTCTTTCGAGCATTCCACTAGCGCCGCGAAGAACGGATCGTCGTCTCTTTGGAACCTATTGCTTTTCTTGGGAGAGATCTCTTCTTGGTGTAGGCCGAGCTTCTTCCCGGAGGAATTCGGCGGCAATGGGAGGAGATGCTCGGTGGTGGAATATTCTCCGTTCTTGATATGGGACGACCCGCCGCCTACTAATTGCCGGTGCTTCGGGATTCCGGGGATTTGCTCCCACGAGAACGGTACTCCTTTGAATTTTAGTGGGGTGTTCGTCGAAATCGGACTGAATTGGTAGAATTCTTCGGTGAAGGACAATGACGAAGAATTTGACGACGAAAACGAAGGCGTTCGCCGGCCGTGTGCCGCCGATGGCCGGAAAATTGGGGTGGAGGAGTGGAGGGTTTCTTCCTCCATTGACCAATTTGAGGTGGTGTTTTTTATAATTGTGTAGTGTGTGTAAACTTTTTAACTAAGTTTTGTGCTCTTGTGGCCAATATATATGAATTGAGCAATATTATTTGTTTAATTTTGTATTTAAAATTAATAATAAAAAATATGGTATAGTAAAATAACAGAAAAGGACCCAAGTTGGCAAGTCATAATGAATAAGGAGGGGACAAAATTGGAAAATAATAATAGAAGTGGGTATGATGTGGATATATACCATTATTGCATTGCCCATATTATTATGAAGGGTATGTGAATTATTAATTATACAATACTATATATTATAAATTATAAATTATAAATTATAAATTATGAATTATAAATTACACTGAGTGGTTGCAATGCTATTATATGGACGTGCCCAAGAGTGGTACTAACCACTAGGGCTGTGCATGGATCGGTTTTAACCATCAACCAACCCATTTTCGACCCACAATTTATGATGGTTAATCAACCATCGACCGACCCATTTAAGTTGGGTCGATAATGTCAACCAACCCATGTATAGGTGGGTCGATAATGGTTTCTAATATGCTAAAAAGTTGGTTAGTCGGTTAATATCGGCCAACCAACTTTATTCATTAATTTATTATTTGTTAATTTTAATTAAAATATTTAATATTTTTAATTTCAAATTTCTATTTTATATCACATTTATTAAATTGTTTAATATTGACCAAAATCCCAAAAGCAATAAATCTAACTTAATTATCTAATTTGAACTATTTTAATTTTAAGACATACAATCTAAATATTTGGACGATTATTATTTGTTGAACTAGTTATGTTTAATTGCAATATATATGCACGTAATGTTTTGAATCTTTTATTTGAATATTATTGAACTAGTCGCATTTAATTTATAAAAGATATAGCGTTGTAACAAGTAATAAAATATTAAAAAAAATTAAAAAATATTTAGATGGATGACCCATCAACCAAACCACCAACCAACCCATTAAATTGGTTTTCAACCATCATCCAACCCATGTAAGTTGGGTCGATAACGGTTTCCAATATTTACCAAAGTTGGTTGGATGGGTTGGGTTGGTTTTATGCCTGGTTTTTAACCAAACCAACCAACGCACAGCCCTACTAACCACTCATTTGGGTGGTCAATTTTTGCCTTTTTAATTTAGTCAAAATTGTAATTGATTAAACACTAAGCCTCTCATTAATTTAATTATCTTCCGGCACCATATCAAAATCTTACTTACTACTAAGTTTTCTTTATAAATTAAATAATGTAATAATCAAGGTATACTTAAAATATCCAGCAACCAATCGAAATCCTACTTACTACTAAGTTTAATAATCAAGATTTAGTTAAAATATTCGAGTTTTAATGTTAAAATTTTAAACATTTTATATTATAATTCTCTGGAAAACACAACTACCTGTAATAAAACATTTTTTTATAATGAGCATGATAACTAGTTAGATTAATATCATGCATTGCATAAATTTTATTTATTGTATATTTTTATTATTAATTATAACAAAATATTATTGTTTTGGGCCTCTTAATTAATCCGGTTGGGTTGATGGATATAAATATGGCCCAATAGAAGCAAGTTAAATTGGCCCATATAAGTGTGGTCTGGACTACCAAATTTGTGAATGAATTTTAAAGCATTGGATCCTTCTCTATATTTTTACTTATGAAATTTGTCATTATTACATATTTTTCATTAAATTATTGAACTTTTTGTTAGTGTCACGTTTATGTCGTCATAATTCTTTTTATTTAAATTAATTTATTTTTAGCTGTAAGAATATTCACTACTTGATCACTAATTCCTTTTGTTTATTAATTAATAAAGTATTAAGTTGATTATGAGATTAATCATAACGCATGACCCAAGTTTTTATCAAAAAAAAAAAAAAAAACCCATGTCCTATATATAGTGGTGCAATATTTATTTATTTATTTTCATTTTTATTGGAGGAAATGATTGCATGTGAGGCTATGAAATTTATTCATGTAATTCTACCTAACTTTTGCACAATTATTATTCAAGTTCTAAACTCCATATAGTGTTTAAAGTGTGAAAAAGGTCAAGAGCCCACCAATTTTGACAATTGTTATTTTTATTATTATTTTTGCCTTTTTTTTTTCACTTATGTAGTCAAACAACATTGTACTAATTAATTATGTGTTTAGAAATAACGTTGCTCCAAAGAATTGGGCATTCTTTAGCTAGCTATGCATCTCTATCTAACTATTGTTATGCTTATCCATATAATTTTATTTCCGAATAATCATATATGTGCATTGAATACAGTGCGATCGAATCTTAGTGACAAGTCAGATACTAATATTTCTACGAATATATAATTGAATTGCAGGATGGAGTTTCAAATGATGAATTGAAAAGCTAAACTATGGTAGAAACTTAAGAGAAAATTGGATCAACTTCTGATAATTACTTTTTGGGCAAATTACGGTCACTCGAAATATGATCAATTTAAGAAAAAAAATTCCTTATGTTTATGTTATTACAACCGGTCCCTTAACTATGTATTGTCTTACACATCCATTCTAACGATGTTAAGCTTTTACCTAAAAAAGGAGGATGGTTTTCGTCGTAAGACAATACATAGTTGATGAGGGTGATTGTAATTAACCCAAACATAAGGGGTTTATTACTAATAAAGTAATAATACACCCGGTGTCTGAAGTGACACGCGCTGAAAAGTGAGAGTGTGCATCTCTTTTCCCGGGTAGCTAATAATAGAACCGAAAGAAGAACAAATCGAAGTGGGGCTACTACGATTTTTGGTGACAGATTATTGAAGTGGGAAGCATGTTCTCTCATCTCACGCTGTATGCCTCGCTTATGCGACACGCGTATACCGCCTCCTTCTTCTCAACCATTCTGCAAATGACATGTCATCATACATTTCCACAATTATTTTTCCCATCCACTAATTACTTTTTGCACCTTTCTTATACCAACAAATATATTTATATCATAATTTATTTCTTTAAAAAAAGACAAATCAAGGTTCAACATTAACTTAAAAAAATGGGTAAATTACAAACACCCCCCTGAGGTATGGTCAAATTACAAAAACACCCCTCTTGTTTGGATAATTACAACCACCCCCTCAACTCCTCAAATTTAGTGGAATCGAGATTATATGGAATATTATCATTTTTGTACCCGTTTTATCCCATTCAAACTCTACATTATGAAGCAAGATGATCATAATATGTGATTTTTAACTTGTATATATCAGTTTGTGGTGCATCGGAAACTGTATTTTTACACAAAACGCATACAAACTAGAGCACATTTCACGAATCTAGATGATTATGTTGAATTTGGCACCATAAGGGTGGAGGTGTAAGAAAAAATCATAGTTGAGGGGGGTAGGTGTAATTATCCAAACAAGAGGATTTTTTTGTAATTTGACCATACCTCAGGGGGGGTGTTTGTAATTTACCCTAAAAAAATACTTCTTAATTAAATTATTAACACCATATATGCATATATGTAATTTTTTATAATTACCTTAATTAGCAAAGTACGAAAATATTCCACGTAAGTTATTCTATATCTCGGATTACTTACCCCATTAAGGATTTTTGCCGTGAGTGTCCAATTACTTACAGAATCAGTTGAAGCTGTCTCTACGAGATTCATTAATTAAGAGCAACCAAACGAGGCCTTACTACACTGAAAACCCGGGCGATTCTTGAAAATCCGAACCACTTTATTTAAAAAAAGGCAACAAAAAAGCAGCTGGATCTGGATATGGATATGAACAACAGTATAATATACACTGAATTTGTTAGACAATCTGCCAAATAATGACTCAAAATTGCTCACTTTCATAATAATATACATCAAAGTTTGGCTCACAAAAAAACAATATGTTATAAATTAAGTAAATAATTAATTAATTAATAAATGAACGTGACTCCCTCACGTCACGGTCAACATTAATTAATGGCATGTAAGTTGTAACCCTAGTGTAATTACGTACCTTCAATCCATGCCATTTTTACCATCTCATTTTTTTTAATGAATTCTAATAATATTTTATTAGTTTGATTTATTATTATTATTATTATCATTATTATTGATTAATTAATATTATTTCTATCATAGTGGAAGAAATATCGGGGGGGTTCGAATATCTTTGAGTTTCGTATATTATTACAAGGATAAATATTTATAAAATATATCTTTTGAAAAGAAACAGAATATTGCTCTGTACATAAGTCTAATGGTGAAATATAAAGTAGTATAAACTAGAATATCTTGAGTACGAATACCACATCATTTCACAAAAGATGAATTATTAAAATTTAAAATTGGAAAATAGAATATATCTTGCAATAAAAATAATAATTAATAATGATATATAAAATGCCTATAAAAGAATTAATAATAATATATTATAAAATATAAATTTGACTAGATGAAATTAATGTAGAAAAAGAAAAGAAAGCATAGGTCATGTATCTTGTATCAAGAAATCAAGAATGGAGGAGAGAGAGGTGGCTTTGTGGGTCAAGTGCCACGTAGCAATAGTTTATGTAAGGAGGGGAGGATGACGTGGCACGCATTGGGTACTGAAAAACCAAATAAATAGAGGGTGTGACCATCCATCAATTGCTTCTCCTCTCAAATATTTCTTTCTAATATTTTTCCACTACTTGCTTAATTTTTCACTATATAACCTAAGTTTTTTTATTTATTTAATTTCAATTTTGCTTCTTTTAATTGCTACTAATAAATAATAATATAAAACAATATAATGCTGGATTGTGGTGATCAAGCAGCAGCAGCAGAAAATCCTGCAAATGGAGGAGAAAAAATCAATTCTTCTTCCTCAATCACTCTCAAGGTAATTGCTAGATTTTTTTATGATTTTTTAATTATTATTTTTTTAGTTTTTTTGATGATTAATTGACGATGAATTATTTTTTTCTTTTTTTTTTGGCTTTAATAATGATTTAATTTTCTTGGTTTTTTGTGCAGTTTTTGGATGTTTCTTACAGAGTAAAGCTGCATGGGGCCAATGTGAAATCAAGAACCAGCAGCATAAGGAGCATGCTCTGCGGCGGCGGCGCCGCCGCTTCCGACGTGGAGAATCCGGCGGCGGTCCACCGCCATCAAGAACGGACGATCTTGAACGGCATCACCGGGACGGCGGCGCCGGGGCGTGTGCTTGCCATACTCGGGCCATCCGGCAGCGGCAAATCGACGCTGCTGAACGCGCTCGCCGGCCGCCTCCACCACGGCCACGGACTCACCGGAACGGTGATGTTCAACAGCCGGAAGCTGACGAAGCAGGTCCTGAAACGAACCGGGTTCGTTGCCCAGGATGACGTGTTGTACCCGCATCTAACGGTCCGGGAAACTCTGGTTTTCTGCTCGCTACTCAGGCTGCCGAACTCCATGGCCGGAGACGAAAAAATCGCCGTCGCGGAGTCCGTGATCTCCGAGCTGGGTTTATCGAAATGCGCGGACACGATCATCGGAAACAGCTTCGTTCGGGGGATCTCCGGCGGGGAGAGGAAGAGGGTGAGCATAGCTCATGAGATGCTGGTGGACCCCAGTCTGCTGATCCTCGACGAGCCCACCTCCGGGCTGGACGCCACGGCGGCGTACAGGCTGGTGGCGGCGTTGGGTGGGCTGGCGGCGAAGGGGAAGACGGTGATGATGTCCGTCCACCAGCCGTCGAGCCGTGTCTACCAGATGTTCGACGATTTGCTTGTGCTGTCGGAAGGGAGGTGTATATACTTCGGTAAAGGAAGCGAAGCAATGGCTTACTTCGACACCGTCGGATTCTCGCCCGGCTTTCCGATGAACCCCGCGGATTTCCTCCTCGATCTCGCTAATGGTACGTCGTCGTTTTCTCATCATTACAATTATTATCTTGTCTCTATACATTAATCTTGCATTTAAATCTTTAATTAGTATATATACTCGTGCGAGTATCTTTGTGCGTATATACGTATTTTCAATGTATTTTGGATAGCCTAATAGTCATTACACCATATACGTCTAACTTTTATGTGTATAGGAAAAAATGTGCGTCTCGGGTTTAGGTTTAAAGTGTATTCGTACGAGAAATTATTGTGTTTCGAAAATTCGTTTTAGGCTCGATTTGGATCGTATAATTTGAACACATTTTTAGAATTCGTACAATTTTAATCGATGTGACTAGTAATTAATCAGTTGACAAGTTGCGAAAATAAGTAAACGATACAAGTTAAAATGAATTTGGCTTGATGCCAAGTTTCGCAATAATGGGAGATGCTAGTTGGCTTTGTCCATCTAGATTTTTATTTTTGCATCTCTGCCCCTTTTAAGTAAACAAATTAAAGTATATATAGGTGTATTTAATGTGCCCATTTTTTTTTTTTTTTAATTTTTAATTTTTTTTTTTTAAATTCTAACATGGAACGGGGCGAGAATTAATTATGAATGATTATTAAATTGTGGTAGAAATTAAATCATAATCTTCACCTTTTGGTATAAATATGCTATAGTGTCATTTTCAAGTATTAAATATTTTCACCTACATTCTTGGAGTTTTTCTTCCAAGAATTGACAATAGTTGACATAAGTAGGAAATTTTTCCGACGACTTTCGAGGTTTGTGTTCAAATCCGACTGCTCAGCTGCAAGTTGTTGAACAACACTTGTGAGCGGTGGTTGTGAAAATGATAACCGACATTATTGCGTTGTCTGAATATTTGCATCTATTTAATTTGATTGCGAAAGACTACTTATATACATATACATATATACATACCATTCTAGATATTTTTACGTTCGATAGTATAGTGACATTGTTTCTTGGTTTCGAAATCATCGGTCTCGATTGACATTTATATTTGACTAGTGTTTTAGTTCGTATTTTAAATAAAATACGAAAAAAGAGTGAGAATCAACTTTGGTGTGTAATTATATTGGTCTTTTTCATAAAGCATCACTAACAAAAAAAACTCCCTTAAACAATTTTTTTTCGAGAAGAAGTGGGAGATGGTGTCGTAATCAGATTCGTTCGAAATACTTTTTTTTAAGACAAAAGTAAGCCAGCCAAATAGACCATTATTAATTAATATTGAATTAAATTTTGTTGGAAACATGGGTATCGAATATAATAAGATATCCAACGAATCATCTGATGCTATTTTGCATTGTTGGAATATCAAAAAAAAAAAAAAAATAATGGACCCCATTTTATCTTCTTCTTCGTCGTCGTCGATTCTTATGCTTAAATAGAATTTAAATTAAAAAAAAAAATTCTCCAACATTACATATGTGAGGTGTGGAATGGAGGACCCTTGTTCACCTATCAATTTTTTGTATGTATATATATGTATATATAAATAGGTAGTTTGAGCTGTAGAAGCATTGGAATTTTTCCTAAAGGTAGATTTGAATTATTGAAATGTGCCAACTATAGTATGAATTAAATTGAATTATTTGATTTGGATGATCTGTGGGGACAAAGTTGAAAACATGGTTTTCTTGAATTTTAATTTTTTTTTTATTGTTTTTGACTGATCACTGAGTTGAGAAAGTGACATGTTATGGCTTTTCTTGAAATTAGCATCTTATACTTCTTCACACACACACACACACACACACACATATATATATATATATATATGATTATCTTGGAGAGGAATGGAGAAGCTGCAGTTGGAGTGGCCTTCTCCATGATCTTTTAAATTTTTGGATTGCACACACACACACACACACACGTGTGTGTGTGTGTGAAGCATTACTTTACAATGATGGAGTATGGTATGGTGACTTTAGAACTTAGCCCATGTCACATTATGTGTCTGAGAATTGAGATAAGAGATCTATACATACACTTATCATGATCTGTTAGGTGTATACATATATATGACGTGTCGTTTCCGATTTACGTGGTTTAAAATAATGTACAATATTTGAAAATTTTCGAGTGTAAAACTTGTATAATGCGGACTTAAGGTAGTGTTAGGAGGGATAAACGAGACACGGAAGCAAAGGGTTCTTGCCGAATTTCTTTTTTTAATTTATCGGGTTTTTTTGGAGAATAATTAAATGGTGGGACAATGTCACTAAGACAAAGTTTAATGATAAAAAAGCAGCACTTGCCTTGTTGGGAGAAGCATTTTGACTGGCTAATATTTTGTTTATAATTGTTTAAGGTTTGTTCTGTTTAGAGCATTTCTGAACCAACATTTAAAAGCAGAGGGATTTGTTCTGTTAATTTCTCGTTGGACGCAATCATGATAATCTCGATTATTATTATTATTATTATTATTATTATTATTATTATTATTATTATTATTATTATTATTATTATTATGCTCTAACGTGACAACACTGCCTGCGTTGGATGCCATCGAAAAATTTAAATAAAGTTGTGCCATTAACAAATACTTATGCAATTTGCATGGCTCCACAACAATATACAAATTAGATAGTGGTTCCTGCATTATCGATCTTTTCGATACAACCTGTTCTTTTATAACCCGAGAATATATATCTGATGCATCGCGATTCTTATTCGTCGAATTCGATGTCAGTGAAATTTCTTATCGTGCTATATCGCTTTGTTGTCGAGGTTCTTGTTTCAAGAATCTGAGTATAGTACATATGTATATATATATTTCGATTTGCTCAAAATAAACTGATGTTGTTTCTTTATTACTTTTAATTTATTTTGAAAAAAAAAAGAAAGCAAAGTGGAGATGGTGGCCCTAAAAATCCATCATCAGCAGCCATTATGTGTTGAGTGGACTCCCACTTCAGTAGTGCAACTACATGTGTCTGGTTCTTGATTCCTAGTATACGTCTGAAAACCCGATGGCGTCACGATATTTCTCGAAACTTTTTGCATAGAATCCGACCCTTTATTATCGAATCTTGATAAATCCCACTTTCTTGATTTTTTCAGGTGTATGTCAGTTCGACGGTTCGAGCGAAAGGGAACGGCCGAACATGAGACAAGCCCTTGTTTCTTCTTACAACAATGTACTAGCACCAAAGGTGAAAGTGGCTTGCATGGACCCACCAAATGCAACCACAAGAGACAACACCACAACAATCAATGGAAGCAGCCATACTTGCATGACTCATTTCTCCACTTGGTTCAATCAATTCGTAATCCTACTCCAACGAAACCTCAAAGAAAGAAAACATGAAACATTCAACTCGCTGAGGGTCTTCCAGGTCATCGCCGCCGCACTACTCGCCGGATTCATGTGGTGGCACTCCGACTATCGAGATGTACAAGATCGCCTAGGCCTACTCTTCTTCTTCTCCATCTTTTGGGGGGTTTTCCCCTCATTCAACGCAGTGTTCGCCTTCCCTCAGGAACGGGCCATTTTCATGAAGGAACGGGCCTCCGGTATGTACACACTCTCCTCGTACTTTTTAGCCCGAATCACTGCAGATTTGCCCATGGAGTTAATCCTCCCCACATTGTTCGTTTCGATCACGTATTGGATGACGGGTCTAAAACCGGAATTTTCCGCTTTCTTGCTAACCCTATTTGTCGTTTTGGGTTACGTGCTCGTTTCGATTGGGCTTGGACTTGCATTGGGTGCTCTAATAATGGATGCTAAGCAAGCCTCGACTTTAGTGACCGTTACTATGCTTGCATTTGTTCTTACGGGGGGTTATTACGTGCACAAGGTACCGTCTTTTATGGCGTGGGTGAAGTACGTTTCGACTACTTTTTACAGCTACAGGCTTCTTATCAATGTCCAATATGGAGATGGTGAAGGTGTTTCCTCTTTGCTCGGTTGCTCGAGTGGTGGACAAGATAGAGCCACGTGTAGGTACATCGATGAAGATGTTCGTGGGCAAATGGGGCCCGCAGTGAGTGTGGGGGTATTGTTGCTCATGTTTGTGGGGTATAGGTTGTTGGCTTATATTGCGCTGAGACGAATCAAGGCTTGAGAAAACATGACTTAGTGCCTAATGTTGTAACATCGTACGATGAAGAATGCGATTCGATGTGGGTGGGGGCTAACTGCGTTACGGAGGAAGTAGGAGAAGTAATGTTTTTAGTTTCGATTACGAAAAGTGTAGAGAGAATTTAATTTGTAAGACAATTAATTGACTCTTTTAATGTGTCATCATCATCATCAGAATCATGTGCTTGCCATTGAAATTGGCTAAGCCTTTGCATTTCTAATTTCTATCAAGTAATATATATTAGTTGGCTTTTCAATATTGTTTTTCTTCGCAATTTCGAACAAATCCTAGAATATTTGTGTACTCCATAAAGAATCTCGAAATTCTGTAATGGAGAGAGAGAGAGAGAGAGGGGGGGTTCTGACGCTTAAATGACTAATAATATACTCAAATCCCATGAAGTTGGAAAATTCGTAATTTCAAAAAATAGAGAATGGATTCGTACTAGAACCTGGATCGAATGGATTCGTACTAGAACCTGGATCGATCCTCCGCAAACTCAAACAAAAAACTCAAAATCGAAGCTCTAAGATCTTCGACATTAGCCCTACTCTTTGTCTCGAAAACGCCCTTCATTACGCGCGTGTACAATTGCTCGAGCTGTGGAACACCGTAATCTTTAGAACGCTCCAGAAGCAGCTGCTTGATGGTCTCAACTTGAGTGGAGATCTCCCCATCTGCCATGTTAGCATCTTGCGGCACAAATCCACCGTCACAATCGGACTTTTCATTTTCGGCAGCTTCAATTTCCACCCTCGGCTGATCTGAATCGTTCGTTTCTTCCGCATCTTCATACGGCTTTGGTGGGACTAACTCAGCCTCAGATCCCTCTTCCACCACCGGAACTGAAGTTCAAACAAAGCCCCAAATTTAATTAGTTATCAAGAAACGTAACTAAGAGGATGATTGGTCAAAGATCTTTTTGGCTCCAAATTCTTACAAGTGGGTGTTAATATGGATTTGAAAATCCTCCCTCAAAATCCTACAATACAAAAATGAAGAATTAAAAGAAATGGTACCCGTTTGAGAGGCGTCATTATTTTTCTTCGATTTTTTGATTGCTTCATAGCTTTGGTCTAGATTAACTTCAGGCTGAACATTTCGGAGACGGGCACTTGCCCTAGTAACAGACATCATTTGAACAACTGGAGTTTGTAGCAGTGAAGATCCGCCTATGTCATCGGGCAAGGAGACAGGACCACCTTCATCTGCAATCTTGTCACAAAATCCAACCAAGGAGGGGTCTATCTGGGATAGCATACCATGAACCTGAAAAGAAAAGAAAAAAACGAAGGTAAAATACTCTTTATATGCCAAATAAAATAAAGGGAATGAATTTTCCAGCTAGACGATCGTACAGCATCTCGAAGTTCATGAGCTCTACTGACGATCCTTGCTCCATTGTAATCATCTCCGTTGTATTTCTAAAACGAGCAAAAGAAAATGTCAGAATATTGTGTCCGTGGACAATCATTTATTGTGGCTATTGCATAAACTTTCCTTGGTATGCAAAAAACGAAGATCTAAAAAGGCCAAATTTCAAAATACAGAAATACTTTCGTAAAAAATGGCAGGGTAAGGGCATATAACCCCATTATAAATATGCATTACCCCATTATCTAAATTAGTGTATCTAGCCACCATGTGTAGTCAACATATAGCATTTCGTAGACCAAAGTCAGTCTGTTTGTTAAATATGTACAGTCTGTTTGTTAAATATGTACAATGTTCGACAGATACTAATTTTGTCTTTTATGAGTATTACAACATTATTTACCAATTTTAGTCGAATACGAACCTTGGCATTAGTTAAAATGAGATCAAAATCCTCCAGGTATGATTTACAAGTGATATACTTCCCACTGTCGACATGCTGCAGCAAAGTAGCTATATCCATAGGGCTCTGGATTATGGCATGATAATTTGGTGCGTCTTCATCCGTGACTGGATAATGGAAGGCACTAAAACGCTTATCATAAAGAATCCTGCAGCAAATAATAAAAAGGAAAAGAATCCAGAAACTTATGAGATTCATGATGAAAAGGATACTCCAAAAGCAATAGATGGAAAAAAGAAGAAGAAGAGCAAATAATCAACTATCTCTCACCGATTGCAAACATCACGAAGACACATGCGGAGTCGGCGAAGAGCATGAGCCTGAGCTTCAGCTTTAGCCCTTAATTCAGAGACTTTAGGTCCAGTAGCCACTTTTGGTGCTTTTGGAAGTTCAGGAAGGCCCGCAGGTCTAGCTGAATCCTTGACTCGTAACTCAGACTGAACTGACAATGCCGCTTCTATCAGACGGTCAAAAAATAAAGATCTATCCTCGGTCGATGGTGAGCTTAAGTGCAAACTGTAAAATAAATTAATAAATATAATAAGCGGTAGCTTAAAAAAATAGCATCAATAGAGAAAGATATTGCAATTATCACCACTCGACAATGCAATCATAGAGAAAATACAGGCTATAGCCACAAAAATACGACATTAAGGAGACACATACACGTTGCGGTCAGAGAATATTGATGGATTATCACAAATCTCAGCAAGTGGAGTAGAGGATGTTCCCAATAGTAGTATCGGCAAGTCAGATGGTAATTCTTCCAACAGCGTCTGAAGTACAGCCCTGAGCTGATCGTGAGCCTAAAAATCATAATTTTATCCCATCATTGCCAAACAGCAGAAAATTGAAGCAATGATGAGTTGGCAAAAGAAATGATAGGATTAAGGTATAGCCAAGAAATAATTAATGGAACAAATCTGATCCAAATGATCACCTAAAAACAAGTAAAAATGCACTCACACTCTCCCACCAAAGGTGGAATTGAGGCAAATACAGTATTGATGGTGTAGTTCTCCTGGCTTCGCCAAAGACATGCACCAATGCTTCCTCGGGCGTTTTGGCACCAGGATCAGCAAGTAGAGATGGTAGTGCGAGAGAGTGAACCGGAAACTTCTCCAACTCATGTAAAATTGCAGGCCCTATGTGGTCCTATAAAACATAAGCAGTAAGTCAATTTTGTTATTTGTGAGCTTTATTTCGGATGGTAAATGGAAAAGTATAGGTCACTTACCAGTCCGACACCATCTCCACCATGCAGTAGAAGCTTCGGCCTATAAACAAGAGAGATTGCAGATCCAAAGGAAATCATGGAAAGCTTGGTGACCTCAGATGAAGCGTTTATAGCAGGGAATATGTCAGAAATAATACTCATTGCCTTTTGCAGAAGTCTTTGTAGACACGGCAAAACAACAGGTGATAAGGGCCTAGAGTTCACAATGGAGCCTCTGTGGGCAGCAGGTGTGATTGTGGACACGGCCTCTAAAAAATGATATTTCTCCACCGTCACAGAATCGACATCTATTAAAAATTTGTCATCGCTAGTGTAAACTTGAGGATATTTTTGGCGAAAGGCACGTATTGCAGCTTCAGTGCATAAAGCCTTTAAGTCAGCTCCACAGTATCCAACACAGCTAGCTGCAAGCTCCAGTTTTAGTTCCTCTGAAGGAGGATGCTTCCACTTACGAGTATGTATATCCAAGATTTCCGCTCGTGCTTCACAACCGGGCAAGGGAAAGTTGAACTCGCGGTCAAATCTTCCAGGACGCCTCAAGGCACCATCAATGGCATCAACTCTGTTGGTAGCTCCAATCAAGACTACTTGTCCACGAGAGTCAAGACCATCCATTAAGGCAAGCAAAGTTGAAACAATCGAATTGTGAATTTGCTCCTGTTTGCTAGACCTAACGGGAGCAAGCCCATCTATTTCATCAAAAAAGATTATAGAAGGCTGATTCTTTTGAGCTTCTTCAAACAGTAATTTCAACTGTCTTTCAGCTTCTCCAACCCATTTGCTCAGCACATCAGCACCTTTTCGCATATAGAAGCTGACTTTCTGCCCAGCCTTTGAAGCAGCACAAGCCAATGCTCTCGCAATCAATGTCTTCCCTGTTCCAGGAGGACCGCATAATAAAACTCCCCTAGGTGGAGTAATGTTGTAGCTTGCAAAAAATTCTGGATATAACAGTGGGAAGAAAACCATTTCCTTCAACGCATCAATATACTCAGACAGGCCACCTATATCCTCAAAACTAACAGTCTCGTCGATTTGAACAGGCTGAATATCAGCCCCTCCTTTAGAGCTTGGACCAGCAGTTTGGGTACCAGAAGTTAAATTGGAAATTGCATCATTTTGATGGCCCCAACCAGAGGCGGCAACATTTAAACCCCACGATGTTGTCCCTTGCATCTCTAGTCCCCCAAGCAGCCAAGGCGGTCCAGATCTGCTGCCACTTCTTCCCCAAGGTATTGGAGGACCTTGATCAAGCTCATCTACTAGAAGGGAATCATCAGAGTCTTCAGTTCGTGTCATGCGATGACGTTTATGAACTCGAGATCCCCCCCTCCTCCCATCCCTGCCTACTTTGGTTCCCATTCCTTGATGAAGTACTCTACGTGGAGATCTTGGTATTTGTTTACCCTGCTCAATGGAGAGCCTGCGAACCTCTGCCCGATTGCGTAGGTCATATCTCCGTCTACCCTCTTGTTCTTCGCCTTCTTCATCGTCACCATCTTCCTCTCCATCTTCATCATCATCCTCACCAGCACCATCTTCATCTTCACCCTCTCCATCACCAGCATCATTTTCCTCCATGTCCTTTGCATCTTCTGGCTCGTCATTTGCCCCTTCGTCGTTGGATGTGCTTTGGTCTTCGCCAGACTCCATACTTAATCCTTCTCTAGAACCTGTTCTTGAGCGTCGGGGTCGAAGTCCTTCCCGACGAGGCCTTAGCCCTTCACGGCGAGGTGTTAACTCATCTTGACTTGCGATATTACTTTTTATTCTCTTTCTAGACCTTCTATACCTAGGCATCTGAAACAGTTTAATGTGTTTTCAGCCTAAAGACAAAACAAAATACTCTATGCTACATACTGAAAAGATTGAAGGTCTAAATGCAGTAAACCAAGATAAGCCAGGTAGACGTAAATCTACATTGAGTTAATAGTCGTACATAAGCCTCACCATTAAGTCATTATCCTCTGATCCAGAACTATCTGTGTATTGTTCAAGGCTAATAGGAACCCTCCTCTTCCTAGTGGAGCGCCTAAGACTGCTTGACCCAGACTGCAACAAGTCAACTGTAACATATTATGCATCTTTAATGAAATCAAGCAACTAGCGAATTAATCTCACACTTCTACAAAAAATCATTGCACCAACAATAATCAAAGTCAAGGTATGATAGTAGTGATGAATTGCAGCAAGAAGACCTACGTAACAATTTACAAAACCAAACAACAAAAACACATACGTTTGCTTTTGATGTTCTATTTTGATGCAACATCTTTACTATTTGTGCAGCTGCGGTCCTTGTCTTGGTCTTTTTTCTCTTGGAACGTATTATAGTAGGAGAATAATACAAGTAAGGGCGGTTATAAAACTTTGGCCTACTCCTGAGTCTATCACTTGTACGAACCGGCCTTGAATCAGGCTCATCGCCTTCACCTGATCTTTTCGAGTACATTTGGACCAACTAGTGTATTCCCATGAGCTATATAACGAACATACCTACAAAATCATAACAAAGGGAAGCAAATGAGTAAAAAAGGAATACTGGTTTATTAATAATAAATCATTTAAGCAATATGTTACCAGCATATATGTAAGTTGGCAATAATATCTATTCTCCTCAATCAGATTAGTCACCATAAAGAAACCTGCCTTTGGGAAAAGTGACTTCTTATAAATTGGAATCATTTTAAAATAAAAAGTCATTACAAGCACACTGTCTACATTTTTCGGTCACCACACCAAAAACAATTCAAACATTTTACAGTTTTGAGGAAGACGTTTGTTAGAAGAACGTAATTAGCTAGACAAGTCCGTGATACGAGATCTTTGCTTCGTAATTTTAAAATTCTTTTTACCAAACTACGGATAACTTCAAAATTTCAACAGAACAACGAATGCCATAAGGAAACCTGAATATGCAAGCAAAAATCATACGGGTTTGGAAATAAAACAATCTATTGCCTAACCCTTCAAGATTAAGATCATTACTACAACAAACAAGCCTGCTAACGGCACTCGATTTCTCACTCAACACCAATTTACATTTAGCCCCAATTTCACTTCTCCATCTATGCTTTCGACTCGCACACAACAAAAGAATCAAGTTCCGGAGAAATCAGCTGTCACACTCTCGAGGAGACAACCAAAAAAAAAGAAGTAGTTGAACTATCAAATTCTAGAACAAAAAATTAACAACACTATGAACAAGAAATTAATTTTTTTTTAATAAAATAGCTAATATCGGGACACACATTCGCACAGGAGTATAATGCAACACGAATTTTCATGCATGTCGTGCGCCATGGAATTTCAGAATATACCGAACAGTAGCTGGAGAGAAAATCAGCAAAAATATTTTGGCAGAAAAAAACGAAATTGTTTGAGATAAATAGAGCTGTAAAAGTAAGCAAGAACAAAATCATCAAAACGAATTTCAAATAAATCTGTTATTTTACCTTCTTCTGGTAATTATCAATACTGTGGTGTGAAGAGAGAGAGGTCGGGTCAGAAACTGCAGGGATTGCTGGCGATACAGAGAGAGAGAGAGGGAGAGAGAGAGAGAAATCGAGAGAGGTTTTTCGTTTTCACTCCTTAATTTTCCTTTTATTATAAATATTATTTTTATTATTATAATATTATATTTATTTGGGCCTAACACTAAACATATATTCCGCGTGCATGAGCCCGAAACAAAGGCCCGGTATGGATTAGTATGGGCCCAAATATAGCCCATTACACTGCACTGCACAAAACCTGAGAGAAAGAAACCGGAGGTAATTAAATTATGGCTGCGGCTATATGCAAGACTAATTCCACTTGTGCAAGACCAAATTAAAATTTTCAATGTATAAATACTATAATACCCTTATTTATTAAAAAAAATAAAAAATTCCAAATATGCAAGACCAAAAATTCAAAAACACAAAAAAACCTATCACAAGACCACAAAATCACAAGACCAACTATCATCTTCTCCATCTTCCAAAACTCACAAGACCTTTCTCCTTCCTCCTCCATTAACCCACAAAACCTAGAAATTCAAAATCATCAAAACTCAACAAATCTTACAAAGATGGCAAGTATGGAGTTAGAAGACATCAAAATAGAAGATTCTACGATGGAAGAACCCAAGAATGTATGCTTTTATGGGTTTTTTTTAGCTAGAATATCGATTTTCCAAAAAAAATTCCGCGCAAACGAATTCGACATGTACAGGTCGAATTTTACAGGTAAAAATCGACATTTAGATGTCGATTTTGAGGTATAAAATTCGACATTTAGATGTCGATTTTGAGGTATAAAATTCGACATTTGAATTTGTGCTACAAATTCGACATGTCAATGTCGATTCGACGCTTAAGTGTCGATTTGTAGCATAGTTTTTCGACACCTTGGTGTCGATTTTTGTTTTTTTCTCATTATTTGTATTTGGTCTTACATGAGAAAAAAAAGTCAATTTAATTTATGGGCATACTTGTCATTCCATCTTAATAAAATATAATCTTTTGGAATCTTTCTTTAATTTGGTCTTGCACAAGTGGAATGAGTATTGCATATAGCCGCAGCCTTAAATTATATTTTCGTATTTTACACATTCCAGAAGTCTCAGAGTGTTCGAGAAGAAAACCCGAAAACTTCCGTTGAAGAAGAAATTTAAAGTTAATCATTCATCATCGTCACCATCATCGCTACCTGAGAAAGAGATAAACCCTAGCTCGCGCAATTTAGTAACCGGCTGTTTCAGCGATAAATGGAGAAACAAGGCTCCGACCCGCGGGAACTACAATGCGTGGGGAGACTTGAAATCGCCCGGCCCAAGCCCGCCGGCTTCCTCTGCGGATCCATACCGATAACCACCAATGAAGCTTTTCGTGATTTGGCCTCCGCCGCGCTGGTTCCATCTCCCAATAATACGTGTGTAAAAATAAAATTCGCGTGTTTTTTAATCAGCAAATTGTAATTCTGTGCATTTCTACTGAAATTGAATTATTGGACTGAAATGTATGGTCTATTTCCATTTTAAAGCATGTAGGATGATAAATATGTTGCTCTGGTTAGGGCAGAAGCGCCTAGGTGAACTGATAAGAGTGTTGAAAGATATGATCTATTTCCATTTTAAAGCATGTATGTTTACACTTTGCTAGGGCTCGTGTTTGCATTAGTTTGCTAAGTTTCTTGATCGTGTCTGCGAGTTTGGTGTTGCGTACAGCAAATAGGGTTTGATAATTTGGTTCGTGATTGTGTTTGCCACTTTGCCTTAGTTTAGACGCCGTTTGCTTAAGAAACTTCACTTATGAGCAAGAGCAACTGCAAAGTAGTGTTAGTACTGTTTACGCTTTCTGTTTAAAGTTGTCATTCTGAGAGTCGTTTTCTTGTCGTCTGTTGATATAATTTAGAATGTATGGTATGCTCCTGATATGTATAACTTCAACTTACTGTGTCTCAATTGTGAGTTATCTCCTGTTATTTAATTGAACTTTGGACAATGTAGGGTAAGAGCTCCAAGGTATCGAATGATTCCAACAGAAACGGATTTGAACGCGCTACCATTACTCTCAAGTATTCCAGACAAAGTGATACCAATTCCAGCTTCACAATCAAGGATAAACGGGGGTAACAATTGTTTCCATTTATAGAATAATTTTATTTTAAAAACTTGCTGGAATACAAAATACGTGGACATGAGCAAATCTAATTGCTGTATAATGATCCAAAAAGGAACTGTATATAGGTTAAAACGAAAATTGTAACAAATGGTTGGTAATTGGCAATCTAGCATTCAATAGTGATTGCTATGCTTTCTCTGGGTGCTTTGTCTCAGCTTTCATCTGAAAACATTTGTCCGCATATAAGATATGACATTCTTCTGAACTATACTTGCAAGCTATAGTTCCGTTATGAAATTTGCATATTTCCTGTCTTTAGAATCTCAATATCTGGGTTCAGTTTCGGCCACTGGTCCCTCATCTCATAATCATTGCATCTACAATATTTTCTGGTCAATCGCATAATGATCCCCACAGGAATGGTTTTAGAGGAACTTCTCCTGCATTCTGAGTTCTCCAAGTTTTTCTACTTTGATTTTGATTCGTTTTGTAATTATTATTTAATCAACGCGGAGAATCTGTATTTAAAATGTTACATTTTCCACTGTTGCTGGCAGATTCACCCTGCCAAGGTGCCCCTATCTTGTCAAGTCTTGTGAGAAAGGGAGAATCTCTTGCTGTATCTGGTTTAGTAGACTATGGAGATGATATAGATGTAATTGCTCCGGCTGATATTTTAAAACAAATATTTAAGATTCCATACTCCAAGGCTCGAGTGTCAGTTGCAGTCCATCGTGTTGGCCAGACACTTATCCTGAATAGTGGGTATGGTACTATGCGTATTGCACTTTTCTATATTTTGAATGTGCTTTAGTTCTCAAATGCTGTTTGACAGGCCTGATACTGAAGAGGGAGAAAAACTGATTCGAAGACAAAAACGTCCGCCAAAATCTGTAGATCAGTCCTTGTTTCTGAATTTTGCTATGCATTCTGTAAGGATGGAGGCTTGTGATTGCCCACCAAGTCACAATACTTCACCAAATGAACAATTTGAATACATGTCAAGTGAAGGGTCACCTGAATCCTTAGACCATCCAAGGCAAGGGCAGGCGTCGTTTAGGCAGCATGAAGGCATTGTTCAAAGGGAAGGATATGCCCATCATCAAGAGTCGATGGCTGAAGAAGAAAATCTATTGTGGAGGAAGAAGAAAAATAAGAGACATAAAAATCGTGAAGGTGTAAAGGAGGTCTCAGAAGTTGAAGAAAAGTCAAGGGGCCCGGTTCAAGAGTCTGAAAAGTACAGGAGAAGTGGTGATGATGATTTCTTAAGGGTCTTGTTTTGGCAGTTTCACCATTTTCGTATGCTCCTGGGTAGTGACTTACTCATCTTTAGCAATGAAAAATATGTTGCCGTGAGCTTGCACTTGTGGGATGTCTCACGTAAGGTGGGTATTGAACATCAAAAAAGTTTTTCGTTTGTTATTGTGTGTTGTGTTTTTACCTTTTTTCTTTATGTAGGAACTAATTTCCAGCTTCCGTGTACTTACCTGATTTCATTTACAGGTCACCCCATTGACCTGGCTTGAAGCTTGGTTAGACAACTATATGGCTAGCATTCCGGAATTGGCCATATGCTATCATCAGGATGGCGTTGTTCAAGGTTATGAGCTTCTAAAAACTGATGATATTTTTCTCCTGAAGGGCATATCAGATGATGGAACTCCTGCTTTTCATCCCCATGTTGTCCAACAAAATGGTCTTTCAGTTTTGAGGTTCCTTGAAGAGAACTGCAAGCAAGACCCTGGTGCTTACTGGGTACAAGTCTTTGTTGAATTCTCTCTCTAAAGTTCTTTTAGTGGTCATCGGATTTGTTTTCATTTCTTTATTTTCTGCAGCTATATAAAAGTGCTGGGGAAGATGCCATCCAACTGTTTGACCTTTCCATCATTCCCAAAAACCAAACTCCAGATAACTGTCATGATAGTTCTGATTCTTTGCCATCTCTGATTTACAGAGGGAGAAGTGATTCAATGCTCTCCCTGGGCACTCTACTGTACCGTATAGCACATAGGCTTTCTTTCTCTATGGTATGTTTCAAGTGCATGGTTGTTTGGGTTACAGTCTCCAATCTACTATCTGTTTATTGATCTTTTTGTTGCAGTCTTCAAATAACAGGGCAAGGTGTGCAAGGTTTATTCAACAATGTCTCAGTTTCCTGGATGAGCCTGATCATCTTGTATGTTTCTTTCTGATACTACAGTGATTTTTTTTCTTTCATATTTGGTTATTCACCAGATTATGGGAAAAGAATTGACTGTGTGGAGTTGAATAGGTTGTTCGAGCTCTTGCTCATGAACAGTTTGCGAGGCTCCTATTGACAAACAATGAAGAGTTAAACTTGACACCTTCGGTGCTTCCGGTGGAGTCAGAAGTGATCATATCTGATGCCGAAGACGAGTCCTTTGATTTTATAAATGGTTTATCTGCATCAAGTATTCAAGATATTGTCTATCCCCCTGTTACCGCAGTCGAACAACTTGAAGATGAAGGATTTCGGCAACACTATGCACAAGAAAATTCTGCTGAGATGTCAGTTTCCCAAAACATATCTTCAGCTGCGGCAGTGGCTAAAGAGAATGTTTCAACTCTTGATGAGAATGACTTTGTAGTCTCTAATTTGCCGGAAAGTTCATCTGATGTAGTTCAAACTGTTGCTGATCCACTGTCCTCTAAGCTCGCTGCAATACATCATGTCTCTCAAGCCATCAAGTCTCTCAGATGGACACGTCAACTGCATACTACCAGGCCAGAGCCGAACCTTGAAAGTGAAATTCGGAATGATCAACCTTCATCGATGGATTTCTCGGTGTGTGCCTGTGGAGACTCAGACTGTATTGAAGTTTGTGACATTCGTGAGTGGCTTCCAAAATCAAAAATAGATGATAAATTATGGAAGCTTGTCCTATTGCTTGGAGAATCTTATTTGGCCCTTGGCGAAGCTTATAAGGATGATGGTCAGCTCTATCAGGCATTGAAGGTTGTAAAATTGGCCTGCTTGGTCTATGGATCAATGCCTCAAGACGCAAGATTCATTTCTTCCATGGTTTGCAACTCGTTTTCGCATGGGGAAGTCAAAAATAGAAGTGAAAATGCAAAGTCTTCCGTAGGTGATGATGTTTTTCCTTTTGATGGCTTGGCTTCTAATTACATATTCTGGGCCAAAGCTTGGACTCTAGTCGGGGATGTGTTTGTTGAGTTCTATTTGACAAAGGGTCCTGAGGTCTTAGGGCGAAGAGGAAGGAAAGGATCTGCCAAGGACTTGAAAATGTCGTCTGAAGTACTAAAGGAGGTGGTAAGGTTGAAGAAGAAGATGGGTCAGTTTAACAAGAACTGCAGTTCGTGCTCATTAATAAATTGCAGCTGCCGGAGTGACAGGGCCAGCAGTGGCAGCAGTGCTAGCAGCAGTGCCAGAGATTCTTACTCATCAAGTTATGGCAGAAAACAGAGTAGAAAATCATATGGCAGAAACAGTCTCCACAAGGATGATCAACACACGAAGCAACACAAGAGTGACAATATAAATGAAACTGGTAAGATTTCAGACGCAATGCATGAAATGAAATTGGGAGCTGATCGTTCTAAAGAGACAGATGGTACAAGGTATAATACAGAAGAGACTCCTTCGGAAACTACTTCCAAAGGTAAAACTGCAGCTAAAAGTGGTGGTATATTTAAATACTTGAGCGGTTCTGTAGCTGGTGATGCGGATTATAATCTTTCTGCTGCCCTTAGCTGTTATGAAGAAGCCCAAAAGGCCATGGGTGGACTTCCTTCTACTTCAGCAGAACTACAATCTGTATTAAAAAAGAAAGGATGGGCGTGCAATGAACTTGGAAGAAATAGGCTGGAAATGAAAGAGTTGGGCAAAGCCGAAACTGCTTTTGCCAAGGCGATCGATGCATTTAGACAAGTAGAGGACCACACCAATGTCATTTTGATCAACTGTAACTTTGCCCATGGACGACGTGCATTAGCCGAAGATATGGTTTCACAGATCGACAATCTGAAAAAACACTCCATGTTCCAAACTGCATATACACGGGCACTCGAGACTGCCAAACTACAGTACAGCGAAGCGCTAAGGTACTATGGAGCTGCAAAAACGGAGCTGAATGCTCTTTTCGAAAAAGCAGGTCCAGGTCCTGTATCCACCAGTTTGAAGAATGAAGTGTACACGCAATTTGGACATACGTACCTTAAACTTGGTATGCTACTAGCAAGAGAAAATACCTCCGCTGAGGTTTATGAAAACGGCGTTTTGAAGGATTGCTCTATTTCTACACCCACACAAACTCGGATCGAACACAGAAAGCATGAAATATCAGCAAACGATGCGATTCGTGAGGCTTTGGCTGTTTACGAGTCGCTGGGTGAGCTTCGCAGGCAAGAGGTTGCGTATGCTTATTTTCAACTTGCTTCCTACCAAAGGGATTGTTGTTTGAGGTTTTTGGAATCGGATCAAAAGAAGAACAATTCGGCTAAAGGTGAAAACGGTGTGGGCCAAAAGGTGAAGCAATACGCTTCCTTGGCTGAGAGGAACTGGCAAAAGTCCATTGATTTCTACGGGCCAAAAACCCACCCTGTTATGTACTTGACTATTCTTATGGATAGATCAGCTTTGTCGTTCAGCCTCTCAAGTTACCTTCACTCCAGTTCGGTAAGTTTTGCATCCATTGGTTCTGTTTTTGGCATTTTCATGTTCATCATCATATATTTTAAATTAGATGTATGTATATAGAGTTGAGACATACTGATTCAGTGCTTGTGTGATAGATGCTTGAATCAGCCCTGAATCGCCTTCTCGAAGGACGCAATGTGTCTGAAAATAAATTGCTGAGTGACGAAAATTCCGAGATTTGCGTGAAATTTTGGAGTAAGCTACAAATGCTCTTGAAGAGTATGGTGGCTGCATCACGTTCGACGAAAGCAAACAAAAATCCCGTAAACACACAGCAAAGTCCTACAAGTAAATCTGCTGATGCTAAAAGGCTGTCTGAGCTGTACAAGATCTCTCTGAAGTCATCAGATTTCAGTGAGTTGCATACAATGTACAACTTGTGGACAGCATAAAACTATAATTGGTTCTACTGTGACTGGTAATATCTGTAAGTAATTGTATTATTTTATTTATGGATAATTTGTTGTGAATAAAAGTTTGTTAATGATCAGGGATATAACGGTCTCTTTGGATGTGACATTATTTAAATTGCTCCCACGATTTCTCCAGAAAATTATAATTGCACTTGAAGAAGTGACATTATTTAAATATTTTTTTTATATGGGTAGATTACGGTTGCCCCTGAGATAACGTCAAATTACGAAAAAACCTCTCATGTTTCGGTAATTACAATCATCCCTTAACTATGTATTGTCTTACACGTCTGTTCTTACAGTGTTAAATTTACCAATTGAAGGAGGGTTTTCGTAAGACAATAACATAGTTGAGAGACGTTTCCACGATCATCAAACCAAATAGCTGAGTTAAATAGGTTATTTTACGACAAATCTTGTGATCTTACTGAATATTCCACTTCATTAATAATTACATAATTTATTTTTATCTTTTTCTTAAGAGAGACGAATTTAATATACAAAATTCGAAAAGGAAAAAAGGAGTGGGTGGCAACAACTATTTCCAAAGGCAAAACATGCAGCGAGACAATCCCCACCACAAACCCGCCATTTTCCGTTGACCAAAATCAAATGTTAGTTACTTCCCTATAAGCCCAAAAAAAGTAAACAAATAAACAACCTTAAAATACATTAAAAACACACACAACCACATCTCAGAATCTTCTTCCTAATTAATTTCTCTAACCCAATTTCAAGAAACATTACATAATCAAGATTCACCAAAAAAAAAAAAAAAGGAAGAAGATGAAGAAGCAATCGATAGGATCATCGTTAAAGCAATCAACGACGGTCCTTCCGTACCAAACACCAAGACTTCGAGACCATTACAATCTCGGCCGGAAACTCGGGCAAGGCCAATTCGGCACAACCTACCATTGTGTGGAAAAAGCAACCGGGATCGAGTATGCATGCAAATCCATCCCCAAACGGAAGCTCCTGTGCAGAGAAGATTGTGACGATGTTTGGAGAGAGATTCAAATAATGCACCACCTCTCCGAAAACTCGAGTGTCGTTCGAATCAAAGGTACTTACGAGGACAATGTCTTTGTCCATTTGGTAATGGAATTATGTGGCGGAGGAGAACTTTTCGATCGGATTGTCCAAAAGGGTCATTACAGCGAACGGAAAGCTGCGCAGTTGATGAAAACAATTGTCGGTGTCGTCGAGGCTTGTCATTCTTTAGGTGTCATGCATAGAGATCTCAAGCCGGAGAATTTTCTGTTCGATACGCCCGATGAGGATGCTAAGCTTAAGGCCACGGATTTCGGTTTATCTGTTTTCTTTAAGCCAGGTTTTTTTTTAGGATCGAATTTTCTTGAATTTTGATGATGTGTAAATCGGGGATTAATGATTTTTTTTCTTTTCTTTTTTTTTTTTTTTTTGTGCAGGGCAATATTTATCGGATGTCGTTGGGAGTCCTTATTACGTTGCGCCTGAAGTTTTGCATAAATTTTACGGACCCGAGATTGATGTGTGGAGTGCTGGTGTTATTTTGTATATTTTGTTAAGTGGGGTGCCACCTTTTTGGGCAGGTGAATTTCTAAAGCCTTATTTTTTTTCTTTTTTCGATCGAAAAAGTTTTGATCCCTTTTCGTCTTTCCTCAAAAGATTGTGTATGTTTTTTCGTCTTGCAGAATCGGATAACGGGATATTCAAACAAATTCTAAAAGGGAAGATAGATTTCGAATCCGAACCATGGCCTCAAATTTCAGACAGTGCAAAGGATCTCGTACGAAAGATGCTCGAACGGGATCCAAAACGTCGAATTTCTGCTCATCAAGTCCTTTGTGAGTATCTCTTTTTCGTTCTTTCTTTTCGTTAATTAATTTCAAATTATTCAAAATATGGATTTTTATTTAACGACAGGTCATCCTTGGATTGTGGACGATAAAGTTGCACCAGACGAGCCTTTGGGATCCGCAGTATTATCTCGGCTAAAGCAATTCTCTGCCATGAACAAACTCAAGAAGATGGCACTTCGTGTATGTTTCGATTTTCCTTGAAATTAAGTATAATTTTCTTTCTTTCTTATCAAATAATCATTTTATACATTCGTAAACAGGTTATAGCCGAACGGCTATCCGAGGAAGAAATCGGAGGATTAAGACAGTTATTCAAAATGTTGGATACAGACAACAGTGGTACAATAACATTCGAGGAGCTCAAACAAGGCTTAAAACGAGTAGGCTCCGAGCTAATGGAATCCGAAATCATGGCACTAATGAACGCGGTATATATATATATATATCTTTTACGGGTGTTTTTTTAGTTAATAAAAGATTCGATTTTTTTTTAAATATATAATCTTGATAATGCAGGCTGATACAGACAACAGTGGGACGATAGACTACGGTGAGTTTTTAGCAGCAACTTTACACATGAACAAGATGGAGAGAGAAGAGAATCTTCTTGCTGCTTTCTCTTTCTTCGACAAAGACGGAAGCGGTTATATAACCGTCGACGAGCTTCAACAAGCATGCAAAGATTTCGGCCTTGGAGATGTCCAGCTGGACGAAACTATCAACGAAATCGACATTGACAACGTAAGTTTTCGCGACAAATATTATATATATATATATATATATATATATATATATATATGCACGATTACGATTCTTGATTTTTATTTAATTTACGTAGGATGGGCGAATCGACTATGGGGAATTTGCTACGATGATGAGGAAGGGTAATCCTGATATTGGATCAAGAACAATGAGAGGGAATTTGAACTTCAATTTGGCTGATGCTTTGCAAGGTAAAGCCAAGGAGGAAGAGTAAATGTTTATATATATGTGTATATATATACATATATACATGTATGTATATGTATACCATATCTTCTGTATAATTTTTCTGAGATGTAATCTTTGATATATCAATTCCATGGTGCAAATGTTTCTTAATGAAATATTATTTTTTCTTGTATATGTTTTAGAAAGAATTATTAATTGAGGATTCATTTATTTTGGCAAATTTGTTTAAATACAAAGATCAACTGTTTTCGATAAGTTTGTAAACGAAAAACGTTCAAGGCGAAAATATAAATTTTTTATTTTTATTTTTTTTATTAAAAAAATCTAAAATATAAGTATTTTTGTATAACATTTAAAAAAAAATCAATTAATAAAAGTGGAATAATTATGTATAATTTGGTTTATATTGATTACAAGCTTAACTTGAGTTGGATTTATAATTTTTGACCAACAATATCTTAGGCTTTTTTAAAGCCCCTTTAATAAAAGAATATGAAAATAAAGATGAAAAAAATATATTTAATTTTATTTGGATTTAAAATTCTTGGACCAACAACAAATTTGTATTATTCTAACAATATATTAGCAATAAAAATAATTTACAAAAAAATATTAGCAAACATTGGGCCGGGTTTGTGTTCGACCCAAGTCAAGGGCAAATCCTGACCCGTTGATTTGAAGAAAGCCCGATAAGTTCTACGGAGCCATGAGATACGGCCCATATACAAAGGGCACAAATGTCATTTCATCTATGACAAAGGATAGGATAAACGATACATCACTTCCCTCTCCCAAAGCAACCAAGTAAAAAATTCCCAAATATTCAGCAGAGTTTCAATTCTCAGAAATTCAACAATGGCAGCAGCTGCCTTCTCACTCTGTTCTTCTCTCACACCCAAAATTTCTCACAATCAAGCTCCCGCTGCGTTTTCTCGCTCCAGAACCAGTGTTTCTTTTCTCTCACACTCTCTCTCTTCTCTCACGCTCACCCCACGCAAACAAGCCGCATTATCGTTCACCCCAAAATCGACCGATGTAGAGGCTGCAGTTTCTGCCAGCGAAACGGTGATTGAGATTACCAGCTCGGAGAGTGAGGCCGCCGTCGAAACAGTGGAGCCGAAGCGCGAGGAGGTTTTTGCCGTCGTGATGGTGAGTTATGTGTTTGTGCATTTGTCTGCTATTATCTGAATTTTCTTTTTGGGGATTTTATGAGTTTCAGTGCTGAAAATGATTGTGCTCTGATTTACGATGGCAAAAAAAAAATGTGGAGTTCTATTCAAATTTAGAGCTAACTTGTATTGTTCATATTTGACAATGGAAACTGGTGATGATTTTCAACATAGAATAAGAAATGTGGAATTTGAATAGATGAACAATATATTCAACTATTGGTACTGCAATTTCATTTCTGAAGATCTCAATTGCTCGATATCGGTTATCGGTTTAACATTCTCTTAAATTCGTCCGTCCGTTTTCCCCCCTTTTAAGAAAGTGTGTTTGAAGAAATATTGTAATACTCGAACATCCTTTTTTCCTCGACAAATTGTAAAAAATTGCTAGTTATGATGTAAGATACCTTATCGGGATTATGCATGTTCTGAAATTGTCTTACGTTTGGATGATTGAACTATTGATTGTCACCTTCAATTGTTTGTTGTTGAAATATCCTTAGTTTTCGTCATGAGATTGGTAGTTCAGATTATTTTTCCGATTATCATTATAAAAAAATCTTGTGCTTAACATTGATTAGGTTGGATCTAGGCAATACATTGTATTCCCTGGTCGTTATATCTACACGCAGAGGCTTAAAGGCGCAAGTGTAAACGACAAGGTAAATATCGACCACCGCCCAATGAGGATTTCATTGTTTCGTCCACATTGTTTCGTATTTGAACATATATGTTGAGTGTTGTTGTATTAAAACTTAATCTCAAACAGATTACCCTAAACAAAGTGTTGCTAGTGGGAACAAAAACGAGCGCATATATCGGAAAACCAATTGTGGAAAATGCCATAGTCGAAGCCATTGTTGAAGAGCAAGTATGATTTTTACTTTCACAACTGCTTTCTTGATTATACTTTTTCAATTTACTTTCTCGACTCATCAGTTTTCCTTTCGTGTTATTGTAGACACTCGATAAGAAGGTCATTGTCTTCAAGTACAAGAAGAAGAAAAACTACCGAAGAAATATTGGACACAGACAGGTATAACAAATTATATTGAAATTTTTTCATTAGATTTTAAAGCATTCCGTCTTGCTGCTGACTTTTTTTCGATTTTTTTCTTGACTTGCACAGCCAATTACAAGGATAAAAATAACGAGCATTACAGGATACCAAGACTCACCTGTTGTCACACTTCCGTAGATTATACCACGGTTAGGCATACACTCCGGCAACTTGGGAAATTGTTCACCTCGGCTTTTGTTACATTGCTTTAATTTTTTTTTTTTCTTTTTGAGATGATTATGTTGTAAACTGTCAATCTTGTCATCAATTTAAATGTCGGTGTAAAAAAATCCGTTTCTGATTCTCGAAATCCTAATTGCTTCAATATTTTCCATGGAGTTACACAATTGCATTTGTTGGAAAAACAACATCCATCTGCACATTGATTCTCCATTTTGATTCCCAATTCCTACTACTTTAACCAATGTAATTTTTTTTTAAAAGTTGTTTTTAACATTTTATGATAGTAGCGATGTAGTTATGAATTAAGTTTCACTTAATCGGGTTTTGTAGATGCTACACCTGTGAAATATACTGGGTGATTCTGCACCTTTGATATGTACATAATAATACACACACGACACACCTATAGGCTATATGTATGTGCGTTTAATAAGTGATTATTTTTACAGATCTATGGTACGAAATCACTTCGTGTTTTTCACAGGTGTAGCATCTGATAGACCAATGAATTGAGATAAGGCTCTTACATTCAAGTTAAGTCAACTCCACAAATTTAAAACGTGCAAGAAAATATTAAAAATGTATAGTAGTGGTATTTATTATTTAATATTTATAATTGTGATTAGTTTCCTTAATGGGTTTGGGTTTTGGTTTTGGTGGGCCCTTTTTCCTTTTTGGACTTTAGATTATTAGATATAGAATAGGGCTTTATAGGCCTTTTGGGCTTTGTAGTATTTATTTTATTCAAACTATTTTTCGATAAATTTTAAATAAATATTAATTTATCAGAATTAATGGGGAAAAAGAAAAAAAAAAAAGAAAAAAGCATATTCCCGTTTAATTTCCTCCAAACCCGCGCTTGTGTACTAAAGACTTCCAGCTAGAATTGAACCACTCATCAGTATGGGCCCACCATTGACACCTATATATAATCTCTCTCCTACATACTTTTAGAGAGAGAAACAAACGTATACACACAAACACAGAATTTAAAATTAATTTATTATTCTAGGGTTTGCTGATTCACAATCATCGTTCAATTTCATCCTTTTAATTTTTCCACCTGCATCAACTTGCGCACAATTCAATCAATTGCCCATCAATTCCAGCTCCCAAAATCCCTAATTCCCACGTAATTTTACGTATTCCGTGTCAGTGAATTGTTCTTGAATGCGAAGCTTTTGATTTATTAATTAATAGCAGGAGCTGCAGCAAAGATGCAAATTTTTTATTCGCAGTATAATGAAGGTTAAGATCCTGCGCTGCTCATCGCTTCCGGACAGCTTCCTGCAAACTTTATCCAACTCATCAGCATCGCGGTCGCCGCCGCTTTCCATGGCGGCGCGGACACTGGTGGTGGAGACCGGCGGCGGTAGGCTGCTGGATAGGGATGAAGAGAAGAATTCAGATGGGAAGAAGTATAAAGCAGAGAAATTCCCGCTCTCGCGGTGGGAATTCGTCGCAGCTTTGGGGGTATTTTTGTTATTTTCATCCGGGCTGCTGTGTATTTATCTTACTATGCCTGCCTCTGAATACGAGATGCTAAAGCTGCCTCGCACACTTGCAGATCTTCGTTTGCTCAAGTAAGAGTTTTGCTTTTGTAGATTTAATTTACTGTCTAGTTTTTTTTTAATTAGTAATGTGGATGTATCGAATGTCCGATGTGAGATTCAGTGTTTGATAGTGATGATATTGCCTTGAAGATTCCGTATCACTTGGATTTGTAGTTTAGTGAGCAAAATATTCCTTGGTAATTTGTATGTTATTTTCCAGGGATCATCTTGCAAGTTATGCTCGAGTGTATCCGGCAAAATTCATCCTGGGATATTGCTCGACGTACATATTCATGCAGACATTTATGATACCGGGAACCATTTTTATGTCGTTACTCGCTGGAGCTCTTTTTGGAGTTGTCCGAGGCCTTTTCTTGGTTGTCTTTAATGCCACCGCCGGTGCATCGTCCTGCTATTTTCTATCCAAGTTGATTGGCAGACCCATTGTCAACTGGCTGTGGCCTGAAAAACTCAGATTTTTTCAGGCAGAGGTACTTTTTTAAGTCATTTAACTGTCATTGTTCATCGATTTTATTGAATTTTTTGAGCAATTCTTGTCATACCGTATTCTATCTTTGGCGAGCTACTAATTCTTTATCTTTTTCATTTCAGATAGCGAAACAGAGAGAGAAGTTGCTCAACTACATGCTCTTTCTGAGAGTAACCCCGACATTGCCAAATCTTTTTATCAATTTGGCTTCCCCGATTGTGGATATCCCATTTCATATCTTCTTTCTGGCAACTGTCATTGGTCTCGTTCCGGCCTCTTATATCACTGTCAGAGTAAGTTTTTTCCTATTTATGTTCTTATGTTCATGTTTAACATGTATTTTCTTATATGGCCACTATTTGTCTCATCGGGTGAATACTTAGATATATTTCAGGAATATGTTATTGTAATACGTTACGAAAAATATTCCAGTTTTTTGTGCACTTGACCTAAAACATTTTGTTGTTTAGGCTGGACTTGCTCTTGGCGAACTCAAGTCTGTCAAAGATCTATACGATTACAAGACACTGGCCATACTTTTCCTCATTGGGTCTATTTTATTAATTCCAACCCTTTTGAAGAGGAAGCGTGTATACGAATAAAGCCTTTTGTGCATTTCCTCCACTCTTTGAAGAGAAGAAATTGGAGCATAAGACGATTTTTTCTACTACGCACCAGCATATGGAACAGGAAACAGGAGGTAATTTCCCTTCGTTCGGCATACTTGAAGTGCAGAAGCCTGTCATTCACTATTTTCGAGATAGGCGTATTACCACATTGTTTATCTATAACACGGATTAGAAATGATGAATTTATACACTGGATGCATCGTAAAGTAACACAATACACTAGATCCTACTTATTGTCCATTTAGCTGCTTTTATTTTGCATTGTTCTCTAAAGTTTAACCATCTTTAAGGGGACAAACCTTTTTCTTGTTTGTATATATTTGGAGGGTATAATCTATATTACTTGCAGCATCTATCTTTTCCTTTATTCCTCGTTCGAGAATGTCGATTCGATTTTGATGAAATTTATTATATGATTGAGTTGAATTACAACGATTACAATTACTCCAAATACTTACATTTGGAGGTCTACCTACTATCACGGATTTATTTTTCATCGGATTTCCTCACATAGTAGTCGAGAGGGGTTTATTATTAATTGACAACAGCAGTTAGTGCAGAGGTGGTGCTTTTTATACTAGCCACCAGATAACAAACGATGATGTTAGAAACCTCTACTTCACTCAGAAACCGGCCGTTTTCATCTCTCAAAAGTAGCATCTTCGACAGAAGTTATCGACCCTTCATCTCCTTGTTTTATCCGAGCGTTTCCCAACCGTCAGGCAGTTTGCGGGGTCCGTTTTTTTTTTTTTACGAAGAAACGAGAGGAGATGGAGGAAGAGAGGAAAAAGTAGTATTAGTGGAGAAAGAATATATGCTAAGAAGGCCTCCATGTGCATATCTTTTTCAAGAATCACAAGTGTGTAGTATATATATACATAGGACTGAAGCAATTTGGGAGATTTGGAGGCATACACACAAGGCCTTGAAAAAAAGTATATCATCTATTAGTAGCCTAATTATGTGGAGTGGTGTGTCAATACATTAGGTTTGGTGTACCAAACCTAATTACGTATCGATCCGTATCTTATCCCTTTGGATTCCTATGCCGGATTGTAGAGTAGCAAGTGGCTCACGAGCTTCATCAGCAAGCTCGAGCTCGAGTTCACGAGTTCTGCATTTCTTGATTATTTTAAATTTGACCTTGCGTGCGCAGTCTATATAAAATTAGAATGAATAGGGATATCGAATGGTCAATTACAGGATTAGGTTTGCCTAAACTCGAGATCTGAGTCGTGAAAAATATGCAAAAATTCAAACATGTCAGAGATTATTTCTCATAGGAAATTATTACAGGGGTTTTATTAATTTTGATGGGGGTGGAGGTAACTTTCGCGATTCTTGTGTGATGAATGCACAGTCCAATATATGGGTGTAAATGTGCCGAGCCGGCTCGACAAAAGCTCGAACTCAAGACAATTAGAAACTAACTAAAGATCATTAAAATTAATTAGAGAATAAATAAAATTAATTGAAGACAATTCAAGATAGTTGTCAAACATAAAATTCACAAACTTGCACAAAAACAACTACATTTTATTGCACTCGGCCCTTTTTACATGCTGAGCTTCTGTTAGTCTGTTACCACAGATTATTGAAAAACAAAACCTCAAAAACTACAAATACATTCATGGGATTTAACATCTTACAAAGCATTTAAAAAAAGAAAAAGAAAAAGAAAAAAGAAGTGACAGAAGACGGAAGAAAACTATGAGCTTATTTTTCGTGTGGGTGGAGACGAAGAGGAAGGCCGTGAGCAGGTACCGTTTCAGCATGGAACAAAATCTTCTCATTTGGGATTGCCTTTTCGAGTTTGAATCTTGTTACCACATTGTGCATGAAAACCAGTACTTCTAGCCTTGCGTATTCTATTCCGGGGCATATTCTTGACCCTCCTCCAAACGGCACATACGTGTAAGGAGCGGGCCCGCTCCCCTCAAATCTCGTCGGATCAAACTTTTCCGGCTCCGGAAAGTACTCCGGATTCTTGTGGGACGAATGAACCGTCCAAACTATCTTCAAGAATTAATAAGCAAAACCGAACATCATAACCATATATTCAGTGGCGTAACCAGCATAGTATTGTAGGGGGGTCACGGCCCCCCCACCCCACCACTTTTCTTTAAAAAAAAACAATATAATATTAATACACATACCTTTGATCCTTTAGGAATGGTGAAACCAGCATAGGTGAACTCATTTGTGGTTTCCCTAATCGCCCCTTGCGCAGGTGGCATTAGCCGAAACGATTCACGAGCCACGTTCCACGAATACTTCATCTTTTCGATGTCTTCCCATGTCAATAACTCGTCGGGACCTTTCGATTTCGCAATCGCCATTTGTTCTGCAAGAGAGGACTGGTTTTTGGAAGCCAAAAATCGAAAAAAGAAAGAAAAGAAAAAAAAAAGATCGTCACCTTTGAAAACCTCTCGATAAACATGGGGAAATTCAGCAAGGTAATTCATGACAACAGTGATTGCAGAGCTGGTGGTCATGTAGCTAGCCACTAGATAACCAATGAAGATGTTGGAAACCTCCATTTCACTCAGAAACCGTCCGTCTTCGTCCGTCAGAAGCAGCATCTTTGACAACAAATCTCGACCCTCCGTTTCCTCGTTCATCACAAGCTCCTTCCTCCTCTTTGTAACTATACTCACCACCTTTTCGCGCACCAATTTACCTCCTTTGACCGCACGGTGATAAGCCGTACCGGGCAAATTCACGGGCACATATAGCATCCCGCTAGTCACGAGTGTGAACGGACCGGAGAGCTTACCTATGTGCGCTGGATCAACCACGTTCAGAAACAATCTACACGCTAGCTCGAAAGTGTACTTCTTGGACAACGGAAAAACCTCGACAACTGAATTGGGGATCCAGTAACTATCCAGATGCTGGCGGGCCAGGGCATCCATCGCAGGAATATACTGTTTCAAGGCCTCCGGTTTGAGAAAGTCGCCGTGGTAGCTCCGTTTTAGAATTGATATGAAGTTGCCTTTCGCCGGTTCGGGGAACAACAAGGCTTTCTTCATGGATTGAAGCCAGAAGGAGGTGAAAAGTTTGTCGTCGTTCATGAAGAGGAATTTGTTGCCTTTCGCACCGCAAAATATTGCGATTTTTTGTCCCAACAAGGAGGTCATGAATACCTCCGGCGAGTATTTCCGCATTCTATCCTGGATGAACTTTTGTGGGCCCGAAAAGGCGAACTCCATGTTTTCCCCGAGCAATGGCCAACCATTTGAGCCCGGTGGAAGGTTCTTCGAGCCCGTTTTACGAAAAAACGAGAGGAGGTAGAAGGAGAGAGGAAGTAGTACTAGCAGAGGAAGAAGATATGGTAAGAAAACCTCCATATGCTTCTCTTTTCAAGAAAAAAAACTACAAAGGTGTAGTTGACAAGTGTATTTCTATTATGTGTGTATATATATATATATATATATATATATATATATATATATGGAGGTGAAACACTACTTAGCAAATTGCAAGTCTACAAATGCCAAATTATATTTGGCATAGCTAGTAGCTACACATCATGTTATGTATTTGACTTCGTCTTGAAATTCTACGCTCAAAATCCGAGGGCCTTTTGCCCCGAACCGAAGTGTTATAGAGCTTTTTTCGCTTGAAGTCGAATTATCCTCTTTGTACAGTAGAACCTCGATTAAATAATAGTTTATCTCGGCCCTGACTCGTTGAAAACGTGCTAAATTATTAACTCGATAATTTAATAATTCACTAAATTAATAGAATTTCCCTAGTTCTCACTGTATTATTTTATAGAGGTTTATGTATTATTTTATATATAGAGGTTTAATTATTGTTGATTAACTAAACATTATTTCTCTACTGTAACAAACTATTTGGATATGAGTACATTTCTTAATACCGGCTAACATGCCATGTGCACATACATCTGATGGCAATAACAACAAATGTGCACGTGTGTATAAAAAACAGTGACAGAGAACAGAATAAAACACGTGCTTAATTTATTTATCACGTGGATGGAGATGAACAGGTAATCCATGAGCAGGTATAGCTGAAGCATGGATCACAACCTTCTCATTTGGGATTGCCTTTTCGAGTTTGAATCTTGTTACAACGTTGTGCACGAAAACCAACACTTCTAGCCTTGCGTATTCTACTCCGGGGCACATTCGCGGCCCCCCTCCAAACGGAACATACGTGTAGGGAGCGGGCCCGCTCCCTTCAAACCTCGTCGGATCAAACTTTTCCGGTTCCGGAAAGTATTCCGGATTCTTGTGCGTCGAATGAACCGTCCAAAGTATCTGCAAGTCGAGAGCATCGAGAATTAATAACCAAAAATAACGTCGTAGTGTTGTAGGGGGGCCACGGCCCCCCCTACCACTATATTATATATTAACACACACACCTTTGATCCTTTAGGAATGGTGAAACCAGCATAGGTGAATTCTTTTGTGGTTTCCCTAAATGCCCCTTGAGCGGGGGGCATTAATCGGAAAGATTCGCACGCTACGTTCCAAGAATACTTCATCTTTTCGATGTCTTCCCAAGTTAATAGCTCGTCGGGTTTTTTCGATTTTGCAATCTCCGTTTGTTCTGCAAGAGATCACTAGTTATTGCTTATTGCCATTTTATTCCATTCTTGAAAAAAAATTGATTATTTTTTACCTTTCAAAACCTTTTCGTAAACGTGTGGAAGTTCCGCAAGGTAATTCATTACGACGCTGACCGCAGAGCTCGTCGTTAAGAAGCTAGCCGCTAGATAACCGATGATAATGTTAGAAACCTCTGTTTCGCTCAGAAACCGGCCATCTTCATCCGTTGCGAGTAGCATCGTCGACAGAAGATCTCGACCCTCCGTTTCCTTGTTCATCATAAGCTCGTTTCTCCTCTTTGTGACGATATTCACCACTTCCCTTTTTACCGTTTCGCCCTTTTCGATAGCGTGGTTATAAGCCGTTCCGGGTAAATTTACGGGCATGGATAGCATCCCGTCAGTCACGAAAGTGAATGGATCAGAGAGCTTATTTATTTGCACCGGATCGACCACACTCATAAACAATCTACACGCTAGCTCGAACGTGTACTTTTTCGACATGTGGAAGATCTCCACCGTCGAATTGGGAATCCAATGGTGGTCGAGATGGTCTCGAGCTAGGGCATCCATCGCCGGAATATATCGTTTAAATGCCTCCGGCTTGAAGATTTCACGGTGGAGGCTACGTTTTAGTGCGGATATTCCAATATTTGTGTTGCTTTGTACCGATTCGGAGAAGAGCAAGGCCTTCTTCATCGATTGTGGCCACCATGAGGTGAGGAGTTTTTGCTCGTTCGTGTAGATGAACTTGTTGCCTTGTGCACCGCAAAATATCGATATGTTCTTCTCACCCAATAAGGATGTTCGAAATACGTGCGGCGAGTACTTCCGCATTCTGTCTTCGACGAATTTGTGTGGGCCCGAGAAGGCGAACGCCATATTTTCTCCGAGCATCGGCCAACCGTTTGAGCCTGGAGGAAGGGTTTTTCTCGATTCGGTGATGCCCGTTTTACGAATAAACAATAGGAGATAGATCGAGAGAGGAAGAAGAAGTACAAGTAGAGAAAGAAAGTATGGTGAGAAAGCTTCCATGATTCTGTTTCGAAGCAAACTACCGAAAGATGTTGAATTACGTGATCACAAATGCGTAATTTATAAGCAAGAAATGCCGTTGCACATGTAAACGCCTAACTTTCATTACATTATGAGCTCTGCTGTAGCAGATTATTAATCAAAACAACAATACACAAACAAGCAACAAAACAGTGACGCAAAACAGAACGAAAAAAATCGGCTTAATTATTTTTTTTCATTTTTCATGTGGATGGAGATGAACAGGTAGGCCATGAGCCGGTGTCGGTGAAGCATGAAACACAATCTTCTCGTTTGGAATCGCCTTCTCGAGTTTGAATCTTGTTACAACATTGTGCATGAAAACCAACACTTCTAGCCTAGCGTACTCTTTCCCGGGACACATTCGTGGGCCCCCTCCGAACGGGACAAACGTGTAAGGAGCGGGCCCCGTCCCCTCGAACCTCTTCGGATCAAACTTCTCCGGTTCCGGAAAGTACTTTGGATTCTTGTGTGTCGAATGAACCGTCCAAAATGTCTGAAAATTAAGGATGTATGTATTTATAATTTCTTCGAGATATACATGTGTGTTTATATAATGTATATATTATATATATGTGTACCTTCCATCCTTTCGGAACGGTGAAGCCAGCGTAGGTGAACTCGGTTATGGTCTCCCGAAATGCCCCTTGTGCAGGTGGAGTTAACCTAAGCGATTCACGAGCTACGTTCCATGAATACTTCATTTTTTCGATATCTTCCCATGTTAATAGTTCATTAGGCCCTTTCGATTTCGCTATCTCCATTTGTTCTGCATGTGCCGTTTATTTATTCAAAATATAAAGAGCTACATATATACATTTATTAAAAATAAAAATTGAATCTTTACCTTTGAAAACCTCTCTGTAAATATGAGGAAGTCCTGCAAGATAATTCATGACAGCTGTCACGGCAGAGCTTGTCGTCTCGAAGCTAGCCACTAACAAGCCGATAATATTATTCGAAATCTCCATTTCACTCATAAAGTTCCCATCTTCGTCTCTAACGAGCAGCATCTTCGACAGTAAATCTCGACCCTCCGTTTCATTGTTCATCACAATCTCTTTCCTCCTCTCTGTAATGATCCTCATAAGTTCTTCGCGCACCATTTTTCCTCCTTTGATAGCACCGTTATAAGCCGTACCGGGAAAATCTATAGGCACGGAGAACATGCCGTTAGTCACGAGTGTGAACGGATCGGACAACTTCTTTATATCCTCTTGATCGACGAGACTGAGAAATAACTTGCATGCTAGCTCGAAAGTGTACTTTTTCGATAACGGAAAAACCTTGACGACCGTATTGGGAAGCCAGTCGCTATCAAGATGCTGGCGGGCGAGGGAATCCATCGCCGGAATATACTGTTTGAGGGCCTCCGGCTTGAGAATGTCGTGGTGGAAGCTACGTTTTAAGGCCGACACTTCTTTGAGGTTGCTCTCAATGAATTCGGGGAATAGTAGGGCCTTTTTCATTGACTGCGGCCACCATGAAGTGAGGAGTTTGTTCTCGTTCGTGAAAAGGAATTTGTTGCCTTGTGCGCCGCAAAAAACGGCCATCTTTTCGCCTAATAACGAGGTTCGGAAAACCTCCGGCGAGTATTTTTGCATTCTTTCTTTGACGAATTGTTGAGGGCCGGACAAGGCGAATTCCATGTTTTCTCCGAGCATCGGCCAACCGTTTGAGCCTGGAGGAAGGTTTTTCGATTCGGTGGGGCCCGTTTTACGAAGAAACGAGACGAGGTAGAGGGAGAGAGGAAGAAGGAATAGAGGAAGAACATATGGTAAGAAAGATTCCATAGCTAAATTAAAGTTGCTGAAATTATAATGTGATTTTAGAAGTGAAGATATTTTGAGAAATTTGAGAATTGAGTGTATTTATATAGGATTTGAAAAGTTGTAAGAGAAATGAATCTTGTCACAAATTACACAAAGGTACATATAAGACAAAATAAAGTATATATATGAAGTATTGCAAATCGGAATCCAGAGAAACTATTACTTAAACGAGGTTATTAATTTATTTATTAAGTATTAATTTATCGAGTTTCTAAGGCATTTGATTTAAATGATTTTCTTAAGATAACTACTTTGTTTTATTCCTAATTTTTGTATAATTTGAAATGTCACCATGTTTTGTGTTTGTACCGGCCGGTGACAGAATCAAACAACACAGTGAATATCCTCAATAAACAGAAAATAAAACAATTGATGGAATCTACATTATATATATATATATATATATATATATATATATATATATATATATATATATATATATATATATATATATGTGTGTGTGTGTGTGTGTGTGTGTGGTTTTGAGCATTCAAAACAGTTTTAAATTTACCAAACAGCGTCAGGGTCAAAATCGTGAAAATTGGCGAAGAGGGTTACATTGGGACAATTATAAAAGTGTAGGGAGGTAAATCAATATAATTGAAAGTATAAGGGGTAAAGATTCGATCAGGTTAGAATACGAGGGACAAAACTGAAATTTACCCAAAAAAAATGAATATATTTCATTTTTCATGAGGCAGACATGAATAACATATATATATATAAGAAATTCACAATTGCTTACAATGCAACAATAAAAACAGAGTCAAGATCAATTAAAATCAGCAATTTAGCCTAATAAAAATCCACGTCAGCTTTTCGAAACAAGAAAGCTTGCCCTATAATGGTGGATATTAATTCAATGAACAAAAAAGTCTGTCATTTTCTACATATATATTTCAAGAAAATAAAACCCTATATATATATATATCTATACTATCTATAAAAGCACGAATATCATTGGGGTTTCTTCCATTTTTTGTATGGACAAAAGTGCCCCTAGGTGATTAAGTTAGTAAATTTAATTTAGTCAAATAAAAATAATAGTAATCAATACCTCTACACGTACAGGTGCATCTACAAGTTAATGGGTACAGGTGCATCTACAAATTAATGGGTACATGGATGTGATGAGTAATTAATTTCACCTTAATTGAGAATGGGTAAAAGAATTGGAAGAGTTGGGAGAATGAATGAGAAAAAAATATTTTACGTGATAAATATACTTGATTGCTATTATAAAGTTCATCATATATAGAGTGGAAAGAAATAATGCAATTGATGTCCACTTTCACAATTTGGTGAGTTCACCGAATTAGCCACTTTCACATTTCGTGTACTAACCAAAATATATATCTCCATTTTATTTCTCTAAGTTCTTCGTTCCACGGTTGATAATTACATTTGCAAATTCATATGTGATACAAAGATACGGAGTTAGAGTCTTGTAGAAGGAGCTCACTTTAATGAAGGTATTGTCTTCATCTCTTTTATGTTTTTTTTTAGAGTTATCATTTATTTTTGTATTTGCTTTCTAAAATTTTCTTTCAAAAATTGAAAAGTTTGGCGTCCATCACAACAAAACATTTACCATTGAAATAAAACGGCAACTTCTCGAAATTTTCATGTTTATAAAGTGATTTTCTTCTACAATTTTTCATAATATTGAATTTCCTATAAATGATTTTTTTTCTTATTTAGGTTGAGGAATTAGATTTATGAGAAATGATAGTGTTTTTATCGTTATTTATGTTGAAATTTTATTTACAATTTCCAAGAACTACAAAAGACTTTGCAGAATTATGTGGAGTAAAAGATGAATTAAAAAGAAAAATGTTTACTTAGAATCATTTAAAATTACTTTCCATGAATATAAGTTTTCACCCTCTCATTCAACACTCAAGCATAATTTAATTTCATAAGGAAAAAAAAATCTTTTCACTTATGATTCAAAAAGTTATATTCTTAAAAAAAAGATTATTATACGTCAAGTCATTACTTGAAAAATAATGAATAAAAAGAATGTAACATAATATGTATAGTTATTACTTGAGAAAGTAAGCCATGGAAAAAGAGAAAAGAAGGTATAATATAAATATATAATGAATGAAATTCTAAGGAAATTTATTGTGTGCATTTAATTTACTTATATATCGATACTATTGATGGATAGTGTATATGTTAAAGAATATTTGTTTTCAAGAACAGTGTGTGAATGTGTTTGTGTGTGTAACAGAGAGCAACAACTTAATGAAACAATGAACACCAAATTTACCGTGGTTCGACTCAATAAGAGCCTACATCCACCAAACGATCCAAGAACTATATATTGATCAAGAGAGTTATAGATTACAGTCAATCCACAGTAATCTAAGACAAATTAACGCAGTACACCAAGAACATACACTAAAGAAAACCTAAACTATTTTTCTCTCTTCAAGTATGTTTCTCTGTTTGTGATTCTATTGTCTCTCGAAATCTATCTTCTTTTATGCATCCTTCAAGGTTTATATAGAATCTACAACGTCCTTATAGCTCCTTGTATGACTAGGAAAGATTCCTACTACAACAAAGAAACTTGCAAGAGTTAGGAGACTTGCATGGGAAGTTTGCCTCACAAGGTAACTCCCAAGTTTTCCTTCTCAGCGTATCAAATTTTTTATAGAAAAAATAGGCTGGAAAATAGGAGATAAAATAAAAATAATAATTAAAAAAATGTAGATGTAGTGAATTATGATAATGATAGCCGAGATTTTGTGTTCAAGTAATTAGAAAAGAAATTGCTGCAAAATAGGAGAAAAAAAAAAAAAATATATATATATATATATATATATATATATATATATATATATATATATATATATATAAATTAGTTTATTGTTACAAATATTTCCACTAGGGTTTCTTGGATTACCCATCGTTTCTTTCTTTTATATATAAGATAAGAGTACTTAATGTTAATTTGAAATGGTGGAACCATTAACGAAGTACTAACATAAATCATTTTCAAAATGGTGAAGACTAATACTAAAGAACTAAAGTTTACAAACATCTAATGGATTGTATCTTCTTACTGCACTAAATACAAATGTACGACCACTAGGAACCAAAAGTGATAGTTGATAGCGACATAATTTTCGGGATAATTTAAACAGATAAAAATAAATACATCCATATAACAAGCTATGTAGCATGAACATGGTAACGCGGACACATCAAAATGGGAAACTCCGTTTTTCAAGAATATGGATACGGAAACATGGAGAAAACATGTATATATTTAAAATATAGAGAGTACATCCATAATTTTTATAAACTATTAGAACGTTAACTTATATGTGTTATCATCAATAACATATTTATATGTACAAATTATATATAACTTATAAGTTCCAATATAATTCCACAAATTATGTACGGTTGGAGTAAATTTGCTTTAGCATAGAACTACCATCTACAAAAAATACTAGAACACGCATAAGATTTAAGATGTTTTCAGGCGTACGCAGTTCTCCGAGTTTTTATCTAAAACGGGTTTGCGATTCTTTTTTGATGGAAACACGTTTCTGTTTTTTTCATTATTACCATAAATTCCCCCAAAATATTTCAATATATATGAAAATGGCTCCAAAATGTTTCAGCCAGGTGTCAGGAGGTTTCGGTTTCGAAACATTTTCAAGATTTGGAAACGCACCTCTACATAAGTTTCCGTGCATCATAAATAACATGTAAATGTAAAACAATATGATACACTCCTAGGAATTAAAGAAGATATTTTAAGAAGAAAAAAAACCAATAAGAAAATAACACGTAAATAACATGTTCTCTAATGATCATGATGAGGTACTATCAAGATCATCTGAAGAAAATGACACAAAAGAAAGCATTAAATTATTAAGTAAAAAGAAAAAAAAATGCTATATATCATGAATACATATGAGTAGAAGTATGAATTTGTTTATGTATTTCATTATTAAAGTTATATTTTATTGAAAATGATTATCAATGTATTTAACATACTGAATATTTTGAATATATATTAGTATTTTGAACAAATATGTCAACTACGACACAAAAATATATAAATTAATACGAGACGTGCAACGCACGTCCACCTTTCTAGTATTTATATATGTGTGAATGGAATTTGTGTAGGTGCTGCTAAAAGTCATGAAAGCATTCAAGCACGTGGCTTAAATGGTTTTGAGCATCCACGTCATCATTAATAATATTAATGTGGGGAAGTAGCAATGGCATGTTTGTGTAAGAATATGATGATGAAGAAGATGGTTGTCCAACTCCATTATCGAAGCTCTTCCACTCGTCGCCGAATTCGTTGCTAAAACCGCTCTTCTCGTCTTCAATATTAATATTCTCCTCATGATTCGCTAACACACCACCACTACCCTCGAAACTATTGTCGTTGATCGCCACGAAGCCCGTCGAAATCGACGAGCTGTCGAAAGGGCTTTGGAGAAAATTCGATTCTTGATTGAGGGCAGGATCGTAATTACACATTAGTGTACTACTCGAGGTGCTCGGATACGACGGAGGCCTATTGTTGTAGTAACCGGTGCTGTTTCTGATGTAGTAACCGTTGTTATTCCAACCACCTTGCTTGTGACTCGGATTCGGTTTCTTGAATGCTCGGCATACGACCCATCCTTCTTCCTGTATATATATTTTTTTTCGATAATTAATTAATATTGATCTAATTAGTTAAATTTATTGATCCAATAATTCCAACATTAAAAAAAAAAGAAAAAAAAAAAAAAAAAAAAAAACCGCGACCGAACCTGAGGAGGTGCATGTTCAGAAGTTTGAAGGCGATATTCATGCATGATCCAATCGGTTTTCCTGCCGTTCGGCGCTCTACCTTTATAGAAAACCAAAGTCTTTCTCATGCCTATAATTCGTTCTTTCGAAAGCACAGCCTTGTCTCGTCCGGTCGCCTTCCAGAAGCCAGCTGTTGTCGCCCTATTGGTCCGTGTACCGGTCGGATACTTCCTGTCCTTGTGGCTGAAAAAGTACCACTCATTCTGTTCTTCATATCCCAATTTGCACCTCCCTATAGATACATACATATATAATTTAATCGTAAAAAATACGATAATTTATTTTTTCGCGTGTTCGTTTTTATGTCATAAATTTATATATATATATATATATATATATATATATATATATATATATATATATATAAAATACCTTCAATGTCCCATGGCTCCATTCGGTAGAGATCGATGTCAGTGATTACATCGAGATCGATTTTCTGAGAGTCGATTTTTCGCTTGAGATAATAACCGACGAGTTCTTCTTCGGTGGGGTGAAAACGAAAGCCAGGTGGTACACATGACTCCATTTCCATGTCTCTGATATTTTCTTGATTTCTTCTGTATATGTACCTCTTCTTGTAAAAAGCTACTTTAATTAATTTGGATGAAAAAAAGTTTTCAACAAAAAAAAAACAAAGAGAGTGAACTTCACACAACTCTTTAATTATTATTGATATATACATATAGTGATTTTATTTCATATATATATATATGATATATGATAAATAAATCCATTCGTGAGCACAGAGTGGAATGATGGTCCCGAAAGAATGTTAGATGCATGTGTGTTTGATGAGAAAAAAATGGCAGACCAAAATGTTGTGCTACCCCACCCAACTAAACATAGGCCAATCATATTGGTTGAGCACACACACACACACACACACACACACACACATACATACACATATACATACATATATTATATATATATATATAGAGTAATTAAGACAAAGTATATTGAACACAAAAGTGTATATATAGACAGTAGCAATGGCCGTGAAAATTGACCTTTTCTTTTTTCTTATATATATATATATATATATATATATATATATATATATATATATATATATATAAGTTATATTGGGACAGAAAATGGGACATGTTATGTATCTTTGAGTACATTCCACTCCATTCTCAGTAATGGCGCACAGGGGGTTCTCACACATGCATCTAAAATTACAATACTACCCTTGTTGCGTTAATTTATCGATGATTAATCCCGATTCCCGAACATTGTTAATTCGTCTTGTAATTAATAATCTTTATACGATCCCGCGCGCATGCATGTTATATATCCAAAAAGTACACACATATATTATATATATAACCTATAGATTCGAAAAGGGATCGGACTTCCCTATACGTTTAGGTTAATTTGTTAGAAAATAGTCGTTGAATTTTTCTTTGGGTTTCGATAAAAGCTGACTCGTTACGTAAACTCTTGGAGGTGTTGTTCGTTTTAATTTGATGAAGATAAAAGGGAAAGAAAATACATGTTATGTATATATACAGAAATTATACAGACAGACACAGAACACATGCACACACACACACACACATAGTCGTTTACACATGCATGGATATGATTGGAAGAGAATGCAAGCTAGCTAGGGTTAGAAGTGCATGCATGTATTGTGTTTGTGGAGTGCCTAATTAATTAATGGAATCTCATTTCTTTCAATTATATATACCAGCATCAAATTCAAGAAAATTCTAACCTCGTACAGAATCCGTTCTCGTAATCGACCTTCTTGATATTCCCACAGAGAGAGAGAGAGAGAGAGAGAGAGAGAGAGAGAGAGAGAGAGAGAGAGAGAGAGAGAGAGAGAGAGAGAGAGAGAGAGAGAGAGAGTTCTTGGTATGTATAGATATATAAATAGAGAGAGAGAAGGGGGGGGGTGATGAATATGTGTATATATATGTATATGGGTGAAGTGAAATGGCAACAGAAGAAATAAGAAATGATGTAAGAACTGTAACAAATGTTGGTGGAGAGAGGGACGTATATATATATATATATATAAATGTATAGATACAATCAGTTAAAACTGTGATTTAAAGTGCTATTGATTACGCGTGGGGTATGATCGGAGTGGCTGCTTCTTCCTATTGGTTCAAACCCTTTTTTGGACGGCGTTTATTTTCACGCCACCCCTAATTAACCATTATATATATATGCACACACACACACACACACACATAACTTTCTGTCACAGATGTTTACATAAAACTTTGTAAAACATATGCAAATTACTGTGTGTGTGTGTGTGTGTGTGTGTGTTTTAGTAATTTGGTTGAAGCGGCCACAGTACGTAGTCCAGCTATGTTATGTTGTGTCTGTTTGGTGCGCCGCCCTTGTACAGTTGGCACCAATAGGCGGGCAACACGTGTACAAAGTCTGCTTCAGGAAACTAATCATTAGTGGGTCTCGAATTCTTTTGTTTCTTATTGGATGAGTCTTACCAAAGATACCCTTTTCGGGTTCGATCAGCCTCTTCTTTGCAATTGACACTATTTTATTATTAAATGAATTTATATTTTATCTTCATTTTAAGACTGAAAATATTTAAATTGTTAGATCAATTAAATATAAATATATTTTTAAATGAACATTGAGTATGTTATAAGGGAAGAGCAACATAAAAAGATATGCTGATTATGCTACCTATAAAAATAATTGAGAAATACTAGATTTGATTGGGACCGTACACGACTTCAGACAAAATAAAATAATAATTAAAAATATTTAAGTAGCTAAACCCCAACCACAGAAGATTACTTATTTAAATTAGAAAGACAACTTTACATCTACTTTTCATGTGTGTGTATATTTATATATTGTTATTTATGAAAAATATAACATAGTGTTGTTGTTTAAGTTAACCACATAATTAAATTGGAAATGTATACCAATCTAAGATTACTTATACACAAACATTATATTATAAAGGAAATTATGGAAAAACAAAGCTACGCATGGAGAAAAGAAAACCTTTGCGGCTACTTGTCACGGTTGAGACACAAATTAATAATAATAATATATATAATTTTCAGACACCAATTATTATTTTTATTTTTTCATAATATAATTCTAGGCGTTTTAGCTTTGCCTAATTGAATTTCAGGGCAGACAGGAAAATCAACGTGATTGCAATCTATTCTGTGTGAGAGAGAGAGATGGTAATTTTATCGATTTGAGTTTTAGTATGTCTGTACTATGCTACAACAGGTGAAATACACTGAGTAGATCTTTACCATTCCATATACAAACAAATACGCACACTTATATTGGTGGGTGCAGATCAAAGTAAAAATCTCACCCGATGCAACATTCACCGTGTGTAGCATAAAAATAACCATTTTGTTTTAATGGGTTTGTCTAGATATTTATGGCAATGATTACATTTACAATATAGTGGTGATAGTGACCAATTCTTGAAGATTAATTGCCAAAATAAGGGGCTATTTTCTTGTTTTGGTCGGAAAGTTGATTCACTTTAATTAAGCCTCCACTTAGGAGCACTAACTATGTATGTTTGATTAACCTCGGAAATGTACGGAATCTAACTAATTAAGTCCTTTTATCCTTTGCATAAAAAACACACACACACACACACAGAAATATTCATGCGTGTCAAAAGAAAATTCATTGGATCTTGTGCAGGATCCTGTCATACTAATCAAAGGACAGAAAGTTGTAGTCTTGTAGACACTAATCTTGAACTTAATTTGTTGGGGATTAATTAAATAGTGCCAAAGTAAATGTTATTAATTAGTTGTTTAAACCAAAAGGGTTTGAATTGTAGCTACCACCATTAAAGATTGACAACCTTGAAACTAAAAATTATACTACTTTTGTTATCCTTCTTCAAAACCACAATCAGAACAAATCTGTGGGCCTTCTTTTTCTGTTCAGCAATCTACATTTCTAGGATTTTATTTATCTGTGTGTGTGTGTGTGTGTGTGTGTGTGTGTGTGTGTGTGTGTGTGTATAAAATATATTATATTCTGCCCTTTCCTGCTTTGAAAGGCCCTAAATACACAACTTTGCTTCACAAATATTAAATTCACAGAAAAAAATGGGGTCTTGTACCTCAAGATTTCATCACACCCCAAACTACTTTTCTCACACACAAACACACACAGCTGAGGTGTCCAAATGACAGTTCAAAAGACAATTAAGCACAAATCTAACAGCTGAACAAAGCATGACCCGAAGTTCGAGTACTATAATCATCAAAGACATCCCTCAAACGTGTGGTGTGAACACGATATACATCCTCAGACAAACAACAAATAAAGGGCAATTATCGTTTTTATGCTGTTAACGACGTTTTCACACACTGTTGGATTCAGGGCATCATCCATCATATGCATGTGGATTGATTATCAATTATGTCATTCTTGAAAGATTTACTTTACCACACAGAGATACTAATCTATTGCGTTATCTATTCGTCATAATTACAAACCCACATTAACATTTAAATTAGTATGCAGTATACTGTAAATGGTGCTGTCATCTATCTTAAAAGGAATCGGTTACTTTAGCAAACAAGTAAACAGTCTAAACAAAGCAAGTGGCTTCTTTTGGGGCGGTTTGTGGGACTATCGAACATTCTCAGACAGCATTTTCAACCCTCTCATCAAATGACACATGTATATATATCTGTATCTATATATGAACATTAAAGAATGTATATAAAGATGGTGTGGTGGGGTGTGGGGTGGGGGTGGGGGGGTTAACTAAACTTGAAAATGACATAATAAGCTTCTAGAGAAGGGGTGGATAGACTAGGGACCCTTAACTAAAGAATGAAAATGACATATCTCCACACAAAAACAAATGTTGTCTCACTTTACCATTTTCCTCAGATATGAGGTTTCATCATTGCTGCATTACAATTCACATTCCATTTGTCTCTTCGAATTTCTCGTTTACTGTTTCTTGATTATTATTGCGTGGATAACTATGGTCCCGACTCAGCACTTATTTATTCACTAAGTTGGAAGATTAACTAGTGATTAGTGACTCGTGAAGTTTTGAATATTCAATGTTAAAACTTAAAACAACTAGTGTGGTAGAGTACTTTTCTTTTCCGATTCTTCTATGATCGGTCCTGGTCAATATTCTGTACAGCTCCATGCTTAGAAAGGCCGATTTTCTTTTTTTTTTTTACGATCACTTTTGGATCCTTAAAACTGTTTCTATGGCTTTGATTTTTCAATTTTATGGAAAGATTGAGGATTTACTAACCGCCCACTCGGAAAATGTTACAGATTTAAGGAAATTAAAAAATAAATAAAATCCTAACATATATATTATATAGGTCATTGCTTAGATTGTAAGTGGGAATAGGCAGCAGGCCCATGATCATCATAATAAGAGCCGAAAAGTTGACATCCACGGATGATTGCTTCACTTCAAGCTCTAATCAATTTCTTATATTTTAGCAATGATTTCTAAAATCTCTAATCGATCACCCCCCAAAGATTCTCACACCTAGTGGAAGAGGATTCTCATTTGATTCCACTTGCATAAATTTCCTCAACAATCAACAAGGTGACCCACTTAAAAATTGCAACAAAGTTTCTATTTTGGTTATGTACAGTGAATCAATCAGGGGTGCAGAAAACCTTTTTCTTCATTCTGCATTCTAAACATGGTTTTCATATAAAACTGAAAAGAAATTATTTCAAATAAGTTAAAATAGGAACATAGGAATTATTTCTACAGGTGGGGATACAATCACACAAAGTTAAATAGCAACTCTATAAATATAAAATCTATAGCATATCCATGCGCGTTAAAGGAAATTTCTTTGGAAGGTTCCAGAAGAAAACCTGGAAGTGAGACCCTGAGACATGTTGTCAGCGTCAAGTTTGACGTTCAGTCTGCCAGCTGTCAAATCTTTTTCGCGGTCCCACGGCTTCCACGGATGATTTCCCTCCCACTCCTCTTTCCCCGTCTCTTTCGCAGCGTCTTCCCCCTTTGACTTTTTCTTCGAAATTTTCCTGATCGACTCGTTATGCTTTTCTACCAAAGATTTAGACCGTTTTGCTTTATTGTACTGATCTACCAATTCTGCATCAGGGTTCACTCTTTTCTTGTCTTGCTCATTTGAAGCAAGTGCTGCAGCCTCGTTATATGCTTCTAGATAACTGTGCACCAAAACATCTCTCGATCAGACATAAAAACTTCAAAAACATTCTACACAGAATATATATATATATATATACATACATACATATATAGAGAGAGAGAAAACATACTTCATCTTTGCTTTCTGAGCTCTGTCTGAAGGTGTATCTGTCCAAGCACTTGTGTCACCACGTCCTTCTTTAGCGGTCTTACTGAAGCTTCTTGTTGAATGCATGGACACGCCGCCAGCCTGAAGATGAGTGAGTACAAGTCAATAACAGGAAGGAAAAGAAACTCTTTAACAAAAAAAAAAAAAGATGAGAAACAAGAAATAGAAAAGATAAGAGCCATTTACTTTTCTTTCTGGGGGTAATGTGGTCATCCATTCATCTCTCTTTGGTGCAGCTTTTATGTCCATCTCTGCCAGGAGTATGTCATCACCCTCCATGGATATACCTGCCAGCAAACAGTTATCAATATCAAAATCAAGTATAGCTAGAGAAATGCTTGCTAAGAAGATAAATTGTAGATCCTTTTCTTTCCTGATTTTTTGTTTTCAAAAATTTTAAAGTGAAGTTTGGGGGTTTGACACGTGAGCAAGATAACCAATGAGGTTTTGGATTCATCAAGAAACTAAAGTTGCTTCCAAACATAAAAAACGAATACTATGTACTCTTTCAGATGATTTAATTTCACATGCATGCATGAAAATAATATGGTATTTAGCAGAAAATGTTATACCTTGAAGTCGTCTCCATTGAGCAGCCTCGCGCAAGGATTTCAGCTCTGCCTGCAGATATAGAACAAGTAGTATGAATAAAGTTGTCATGTGGTGTCTAACAAACCATTACAGAGCCACAATGGTACCTTAAATGCTTCTTGTTCCTCCTTCTGCTTTATTTTGTCGTCTAGTGCTTTTCGCTGCCAAAAGAGAAAATAGTTAGGATACATAACAAAAATAATATTCAACCAAAAATTTGAAGAAACTTGCAAATTGGTTAGTCATCTCAGTTAAACAATTTTGTATAAAGCATATTATGTCAGAAATCAATTCTGACACAGTTCTTATAGGTCAAATCAAGAACTGATCTATTCATTAGCATAGAAGCAGGTAAAAAAAAATCCAACCTTAAACAACCTTATCATAATACTCACCTTATCAGGATCCTGTAAATCCTTAAATGCTTTGTTCAACTTAACGAATGCTTGTTGTGCTTGAGGGTGAGAGCACTTGTCAGGATGGACCATTAATGACAATTTCCAGTACCTAAATTTTATGCAATATCAGCAAAACCCTATGCATAAGAGTTTTGGTTATTCACAAAATAATGGCACATGTTTACCTTTTCTTCATGTTTTCTGCTGCCATATTATGGTTGACCCCAAGAATATCATATGGACTATCTTCCTCGGCACCAACTATTCTGGTAATCTGAAAACAGAGGATTTAAGTCAGCCCTGTGTAATAACCACTGCCATAGTGATCGCAGTTAAAACCACCAACTTACAGAAGCAAGAAATACAAGAAAAGAAAATCATTTTTCTAACGATAGTATTTCAGAAACACTGAAGGGTCCATGGACTTGATGGAGAAAAAAATGAATAGTAATGAGGAAAAAAAATAGAGAGGAACCTCTTCAAAGCGCTCCGCTTCATTTGAAGACTCAGCTTCTTTGACCACAGCAGGAGGTGGAGGTCCAATAAATAATCCAGTGTCTTCGTCCAACTCAGCTTCTCTGTTAATTGTTCTCATGCATTATTATAGCATTAATAAAGGTCCTGATTTTTCACACTATTGAAAAAACAGTAGAACCCAAAAAAAAAAAAAGTTTAGAAAACTTTTTTTACTTTAATAAAAAGATCGTGAGCTATACCTCAGTTCAGCTTCTGCTTCTGTTAGCTTGGCTGCTGCCACAAGTAATTCAGCGGACGGCATTTCAGGTCCAATGACCCTACAATAACCAACAGCAAAATGTGATACAAGAAGGTACAAACAAAAGCATGATATCAACAAAGGGAGATGAAGTACGGACACAAATAATTTTGTTTAGAAACATAGAAGAAACTACCTTCTTCTTGGTCCAACAGAATCTTCCTTTGTATCTTCCACATTGCCAGTCAAATGTCCCTTCTCCGAATCTGGCGGCACCGAGTGTGCATCTCTCTGTGAATCTAAGTGATCAAGCTTCTTTTGAGTTTGCATAAAAGAGCGTATGATGGGACCAACAACCTCCAGCGTGGGGCTCGCTTTATGTGGCAGTAGAAAGACTTTATCACCATTTACTTTGAGGTTTAAGGATATGAACAGCCTTCGGAGTTGCTTGACCAACAGCTTCTCAGATAATCCCCTTATATCAACAGCTTGTCCTTCGTCAATCATTCGCAAAAGCTGAATAAAAGCATCAATTATAAGAAAAATCGTACAGCAGTATCATGATAATAAACTATTATCACATACATTAGCAAGGTGTCATTACCCCCAAGTTCATTCATTACCAAACTACGACCATGTACATGATTCCTATAAAGACCTAAATCAGCCTCTGGACACCAAATAGAAAGTTCGACAAGACAATAAGACAAAGAACAAGTGTACGGAGCACTTCCCTCAGCTTCAAACTTCTATATTCAAGTTAACATAAGAGATACTCCACCAAATTTAAATAGTGACAATATTAGATTTCTACCAACTCCTGCATAGTGTCCCACTGTTTTCAATCATCTTCGAATCGATTAGTATAAACAATCTTCACTCGAGTGAGAACCCCCATTGTTCTAATAATTTCTCAAAGGGGAAATCTGATTAGTAACCTTATCTATGATAAACCAAAGCAATAACATAATACAGATTTCAGGGTAAAATTTATCGTTAGGTTTTTATCTAAAGCAGTTCAGAACATTATTCAATTAGCCAAAATGCTCAGATTGGAGCATGTGCATAGAGCAAGACACAGCAATGGAGAATACAAATTACTAAAACCCCCATCAACAATACCTGCTCCAAATCCCCAGCAACGGCAGGAAATTCCTTCAGTATGTACTTAGCCACATCCTCCGGACTCTCCGACTCGGATTCCGACCCGGACCCGGACCCGCTCTCGTCATCTGAATCGTATTTCCTCTTCTTCCTCTCTCTCCTTTTGTCTCTTCTGCTGTGTTTTTTCTTCTTCTTCTTCTTGCTCCTATCATTATCATCTCTTCGTGATTTTTTACCGCTCCGCTTCTCCTCTCGGTCGCGGGCCCCGCCACGGCGTCGTTTGCGGATTTTGGACGAAGATTCGAGCTGGTCGTCGGATGATGATGAATTCGCGGCGGAGGACGACGTTGTGGATGGTGAGGATTCCGGTGAGGTTTTCCGGTGCCTTGATTTTCTAGAGCGGTCTCCCATGATACGAATTTGAGTAGCAAATTTTGCTTCTCTCTTCGATCGATTTCAGAAGCTGCAACAAATTCGGGTCCAGCGCTCCAGATTGTTGACCCGCAAATCACTGGAGCGGGTTTGAGTTTGTATATGGGCTGGGCTTTGCGGGCTTTTTATGGTCTCGATCCGAGTAAATCCTGGACCGATATATGGATCCTGGGCCGCCAATGGGTCCAATGCTAGAATTATTATGAATGAATATGACTTAAATCATAATTACGTTATATCTTGACTAAATATGACTAAATGCAAGAAGTTAGTATATATTTGTTCGGTAACAACTTTCCCTTTGAACTCAACTCACTCGATCGTTGGAGAGTTTACCCGAATTCAGATCTAGGACTGGTAAGTGATCGACTGGAAAAATATTAGAGATTGATATTCAATCGTAATCCTAAAAGGGGTTTTCATAATCGTTTATACAAAAAATTACACACGTCTACTTCCTAATTTAACGTCTCCTTGTGATCCCGAGATTTACTTTGACCGATCAATTATCGATCATGTATTACATACTTTCTTCATCTATTTATGGAAATTATGCTAGAATATTCCTCTCCAACAACTATCTCCGAATTCGCCACCTACCATACCTTGTTCATTTTCTTCTGCGATACGTTATGTGTTAATAGGCTTTCATATACGCGAATTGCCTGTTCAACAATCTCCTTATATTATCTCTTAGCATCGATCAGTTCGGCCCACGCGCCCTGTTGCTAACCCTTCATTGGGCCTTCATTTAACGGGCTTTGATTTCTATCACTTATTGGGCTTCGACCCAATAATTCCGAGTGTGGGGAGTTCGGTCCAAATGTGCCGAACTGATCCCATCACAATTGAACATCAATATACATAATTTATATATCGATCTAGCTGGAAACAAGGATAAACATAAACATTAGAATATGACAAAAACTTTGGGGCTAATTTAGTAATTTCACATCTCTGATTGGCTGATGAGAGGGTCCAATTAATGGTCTGTGCCTGAAAGCTGAATAATATCCCTGTAGTCAAGACATTATTTTCAAGTTTCTGTTGTTGTCTCAATCATATCCAGTTCAGCATACATATATATACACCAAACACGTGAAGTTTTAGCTGTACAGCTTATCATTAGCTGCATGCATGCATGCATGCACGCACGCACGCACCTTCCAAAGAACTACCCTAATTAAGACAGACTTCTTTAATTTCTTCCTCAATTTCACACACACACACGCACACGCACACGTTCCAGTGTGTGTGTTTATATAGATAGATGTGCTTTTGTTAGTTCCTTAGCTTTAAGCATCTAATATCTATCCATATCTCAGGTTTGATGCCTTTTGCTTTCTTTATTTTCTACAATTTGGTTGTAAGGAAAAAAACACAGAAGAGCCTGGACCATATATATATATATATATATATATATATATATATATATATATATATATATATATATATATAGTTCGTGCATTTCAAGAAAGCCAAAAGAATCAACATACAGCTGTGTTCTACAAATTTATAAAGTGATGATAGAAAGATCCATTAATGGACACAAAAGATAAGGGGCAAGCACATAAAGTCTGTGATTTTTGTTTTTAGGACCATTACATGTGAACCTAAATAAAAGGAAACACCAACTTTATATATATATATATGTATGTATAATATATCTATCTATAAATAGCCATCCTCCTACATTCAAGAAGCTCCACATCATCACAAACTAATTTTGTACTAAGCTAAACATGAAGCTGCTACTCTCGATTTTGCTCATTGCCCTTTTCGCCATTCAGGTATATATATATATTATTTACGACAAATTTCGTCGTGAATATATTTTATATGGATTTTTTTTTTTTTGCTTAGTTCGTTGTCTTCATGCAAATTTTCAGGCTTTCTCCGAGGCAAAATCAGTGATTGATGCTACTACTACAACACATTCTCTCTCTGAGGTACGTAGTAGTTACTAATTTAATTTACATGCATATAAAATTTCGTCTTGATCGATATATATATATATACATACTGATCGTATATATCTGACTTTTCGTTTCAGGCCGAGGATGGTGGAGAAAACTTAGGAAGCCTAATCAAGAAACATCACCACCATCACCATCACCATCACCCTCGAACAATAAGTAAACTAATTACATATTTAATTCAATAATATAATATGATCTTCTTGAAAATGACATAAAAAAAATATGTAATATTTATTGTGTGCATGACAGATTGCAGCAACGAATGTTCTAGAAGATGCAGCAAAGCGTCGAGGAAGAAGATATGCCTACGAGCATGCAAAACTTGTTGCGCAAGGTGCCACTGCGTGCCACCTGGCACTTACGGCAACAAAGACCTCTGCCCATGCTATGCTAGCCTCAGAACTCATGGAAACAGGCCTAAGTGCCCCTGAATTAATTTTATTAATTAATTAAAACCTGGTTTTTTTTTTAATTTATTTATGTGTGCAAAATAATTATTTGTTTGGTTTGTCACAGTTTCTTTGCTGCCAAGAATGTGTGTATTGATTTGGTAATAAATTTGTGTGATGCTTAATAATTTGCATTGTATATATCTCTTTTGATATGCAGTGCTGTATGTGTGAGTGACAATATATAATAATCTATTTCTTTTGTACCAGTTCTTGCAAATAAATAAAATATTTCTTGCTTAGACTTTTGCTTCTTTATATATATATATATATATATATATATATATATATATATATATTAAAAATTAAATTAATAGTAGTGTTTTTTCTCTACAACAAATAATCACTAGGGTGGCAACATCTATTATCATAACATTAGTACACTAATTGTATTCACGATCAGTGACGAAGTTAGGATTCCAACTTCGGGAAGCAGAATGAATTAAAAAATTTGTAGAGCAGCCGTTAATACTATTGTAGACGATTTCTTTTATATCTATATATAAAATAATAGAAATTTAATAAATGTTAGGGGGGCCATGACCCCCGCCCCTTATACTGGCTCCGCCGGTATAAAAGATGGTGCTAATAAAAATAAATTATTAGTGGCAAAATACATAATATTATCATCTAATTAATATAAATGATTTTTGGTATTGTAAATGTAGCTATTTGACTAATATCAAGGGGGTATTTGGACAATATAAATAAATAAATAAATATAAAACGGGATGTTTGGTTTGTAATGTTAAAAGTTGGTTGATTTCATTAATTAATAATTAAACTAAATTCCAAAAAGCAATTTTCATATTATTGATTAAGTAATCCTAATATAAAAACAAAAAAGGAAATGATAAACTAGGGGCATTTCGGTAACTTCCATATCGACATGCCGAAACAATTTGATTAATCAAATCTCACCCTCCCTCTTTTCTTTTTCTTCCCACCGCTTCTCCGTCGAGTGATTAAGGTACTCTCCGGCGAACTTCCTCGAATATCTCCGATTGTACCCGAGAATCTGTTAAATACCATTTATACCCTTTCAAAACCCCCCATTCCGTTCAATCATAAACCCTTCTTTTGCCCGATTTGGATCATCAATCGTATACGCGTTGTGTATCTACATCCAATAATGCGCGGATGGCCCAGTACAGGCAATCCGGTGGCGGCGGCGGCGGCGGAAATGGGGCGCGAAACGGTGTCGTGTCGGATCACGTTTCAGTCGGAGTCCGTGGCGGTTCGAGGCACATCCACCACCGTCGATTGAAGGCGCCGCCTGCTTATAAGATCTCCATTGGATTCTGCATCCTGACGCTCGCTATTATTTTGTTGATCTCCACTTTTTTCTATTTCTCGTTGCAGAGTAAAGGTAATGCGCCGCCCTTGTTTATTGACTGAACCTCTGGGATTTTGAGTTAAAGCTTATTTTGTATGATTTTCAGTTTTATCTGAGCATTTGATTAATTTATTATTCACTTCAAGTTAATTGAATGGGTTGCAGACTATGTAATCAGTTGTTAAAATTGAGTGGTGGATTGCTGGCAGTGATGGAAGTTTTTAAAACTGATATAATGTATTTTAACAGATAAGTTAGTGCATCTGTATGAATTCCTCTCGTTTCGGTTACAGAAATCTAAGCTTTCTTGACACAATTTGTGAATTGGGTAATACAATGTGAAATCGGGGATGAGATACGAACTTCGTACGGTAGTAATTGATTCGTAAATTGTGCAATGCCTTCTTGAGTTGGACAATGTGGTGAACGAACTATGGATAACTTTGCTCTCGAAGGAGCTACGACATTAATTAAGTGAAGAACTTAAGCTAAATTGATCTTGCTAACTCTTCCATTCTAAATCAGCTAGTTTTCAGAAATACTAACAGAAGACGATACACAGGTAAGAAGCTTAGCATGTATATACTCGACTCGGTCCCTTAGGGTTCACAAATTTATCAACAGGGGCTTATGTTTTTATATCTGGATTATGGATTCTAGGCCAGTTGTATTTTCATAGTTTCTTCCTTCTGTATCTTACTGTACGAGTGGATTCTCATCTCTGGAATTCTATGGGAAATTAATTCGAATTTGACTAGGGTATTTTTATATCAATGTTCCAGTACTAGATCTTTCATTGACCAACTGTGTTGTAAGTGCTTGACTTTGATAATTTTACTCGTCTTCCTTTGCCAGGAGGTGATATAAACAGGCACCAAGTTCAAGATGATGACACGGGCAATGAAACAGATTTTCTCATGGATGTTACACAGCTACAAAAATCCAAGGAGCTCAAATTCGGCCATGGATCCGTTGCTCATGGCAGGGATTCACGGGACTGGGACAAGGATGACAGAAGAAGAGATGAGGATTATAGTGAGGAAGAACAGGAGCGTGTTCGAGATGGTTCTGTTGATAAGGTTCACACTCCAGTGAAAAACATCGATAAAAAAGATTCTCACGAAGTTTTGGGTAAACAAGGAATTGGCTTGTACAATGAGGTTGGGCGCGATGAATTGAAAATCTACCAGGCTGAATACGAGGCCTCTCTAAACGGAAGCCACAGATCTGGAGAGACTGACGAGAGGGAACGCAAAGCATTAGAGGATAATGATGAATATGATGATGGTATTGACTTACAGGATGATCAAATGGAAGATGGTGATGATGTTGGGCATGATGACAAGGACCACTCTAGTGCCACAGAGCCTCGTACTGTTAGAAACAAGAAGCAAAGCATCAATGAGGAATCTGATAAAGATTCCACTGGTTTGTTAAGCAAAGGATCTTCTTTGGAATCCCAGCATGCTCAAGTTGATGCAGTTTCTGGGCATGCGAATTCTGTAGAAGCTCACCATGTTCGAAAGGTGATGCCTGGAAAACGCTCAGGTTCAAGAAAGAAGCCTAAGCGTCGAAAGTTTTCTGGTAATCATCTATTTTGCGTAATAAGTTATTTATTTCTTCTTAACAATCAAGTGACTCTGTTCATTGGCCAATATATACGTATTCAACTATAAGTTATTCTGCTACTGGACTTAGGATGGACATCCAGAATTCCTCTTCATACCAATTAATGAGAATATTTGTTATTTATTCAATTATATCAATAGCGTCATAAATTGTTTAATGTTCTGTTAATCAGCTTGGATTGAAGTGCCATCGATTAATCAAGTACTTGTGTAACTAAAATAACCAATGTGATGCTATAATAAGGTATTTTGCATCGTGTTTAGCAACAACCATTTGAACCTTCCTCTAATATTTGATTAACACTATGTGCTCAGTGTAAGAGGTAGCTGATTTGCCTGATGCCAACATTCGTTTTTTTCCAGATTAAAAAAATTAAATTGATTGATGTCATTAGAATTTGTTTAAAGAGTTTAGTTCATTTTTTCCCTCTTTCGATCATATTTAATACTGATAGCCAACAATTTCAGGTTCTTGTGAAATGAAAATTTCGAATTCCAGTACACTACTTGTGGAGCCAGTGGAAAGTCGAAAGTTTGCAAGGTTCTCCTTGCAATACACAAAGAAAGAAGAGAAGCCCTTTGGAGATGAAAAATGGGAGCCTAGATTTGCCGGACATCAGAGTCTCGGAGAAAGGGAAGAATCTTTCATTGCTCGTGATCAGAAAATTAACTGTGGGTTTGTAAAAGGTCCTAAGGGGTCACAAAGTACAGGGTTTGACTTAGCTGAAGACGATGCAAAGTATATTAGTAGTTGCCACATTGCTGTTATGTCTTGCATATTTGGCAATTCTGATCGCTTGAGATCACCAATTGGCAAAACTGTACGATTCATTACACCCCTATTCTATCGTTTAGTCCTCGTTTTATCCAACTTGACTGTCATCATGTATTTATAGTAAACATGAAATAGAGACTTAAGTTTATCACTATTAGTGGTGATTAATTACTGACCTCGACTCCTTTCTTAATCTTAGGTCTCTCGTACATCGAGGAAAAACGTATGCTTTGTCATGTTCGTAGATGAAGTAACTTTACAAACTCTTTCAGCAGAAGGCCAAATGCCCGATACAATGGGCTTTGTGGGATTATGGAAGATTGTGGTGGTGAAGAATCCTCCTTTCACCGATATGCGGAGAGTGGGAAAGATACCGAAATTTTTGCCACATCGACTATTTCCTTCAGCCAGGTACAAATTACAGCTAAAACCATTTTATGAATCGATTGCTTGGTTACGCTTATTTTTCTCCAACTGTTACGTATTCTGTTGGCATATTTTTTCAGGTACTCAATTTGGTTGGACAGCAAACTTCGCCTCCAGCTCGATCCATTGCTTATCTTGGAATACTTCCTATGGAGAAAAGGTTACGAGTACGCTATTTCAAATCACTATGACCGCCATTGTTTGTGGGAAGAGGTTGCCCAAAACAAGAAGCTCAACAAGTACAACCATAGTGTTATAGACGAACAATTTGCATTCTATCAAGCAGACGGCATGAAAAGATTTAACGCATCAGACGCTAACAAGCTTCTACCCAGCAGTACGATTACTCTCCACTTATCTTCCTAAATTCTTCAGTTTTCAGCGTAATAAATAATCCTTTTTTTATCCATATAAAAAACATGTTCGATATTTTTGCAGATGTACCAGAAGGGTCGTTCATCGTCAGGGCTCATACACCAATGTCGAACTTGTTTTCTTGCCTCTGGTTTAACGAGGTTGACCGTTTTACACCTCGTGACCAGCTAAGTTTCGCCTACACGTATCACAAATTAAGACGGACAAATCCCGAAAAACCCTTTTTTCTCAACATGTTCAAGGTACTAATTTATTGTAGTTATAATAATATACCTTCTAGTGTGTGTTTGCCGTTACACTTTCGTTGCTGAGCCTAAACTATCTTGTGCCAGGACTGTGAGAGGCGAAAGATAGCTAAATTGTACCATCATAGGTCCGAGGAGCGGAGGAATATTCCCCTACACGAAACAGAGTAGTTCTTTACGATCCCGATTTTAATCAAGAAACTTCATATGCCCTTTCGGAGAAATATGCGTTAATTGTGGAGGGTGACGGATATGGTACAATACGGTGTATATTGCAAAACTTTATGTCGGGGGTGGTGAAAAGGACATTGCTTCCATTGATACTATACGAACAAGCTTTAAAAGGTCAGTCCTCGATTCGCTTCATAGATAGAAGAAAGACATATATATGACGGGCCATTGTGCCTTAATTCGATTCATTTAGTTACTTATATTGAACCGTGTAATCCATAATGAAGCACTTGATATATTTGTACTAATATTTTTCAAAGCTGCTTCTGTTTTTCTTCGATGCATGCCGTGATTATGTATTCGTCCAATTTTTGATTTATGGTATTTTTTTTCAATTTAACTACTGAATGTTGATTTTTTCTTCTAAAACATATTTTTATTCATATATACATATATGACACCACAATTCATAAAAACTTATTTGTTCACTAATTAAATTAATCGACAAAAGACAAATATAATTTAATTTTTTTCCCCAATTTGATGAAAAAAAAAAAGTTGATCTTGTCATATTGTAATAGACCAACTACCATCATTAATAATTTCAAATAAATAATAACTTGCAAAGATGAACAACTACTCCCTTAGTTAGTGCATTACAGCTTTAATTAATTGTATTTAATTTATATGTGACAGCTACTGCTAAAATACACCATATCTCTATTTTCAAATAATCAAAGACAAATCATAATCAACCCATACAACCGTGTTTAGGATATTCGAAATGTCTTTTTATGAAAGATTTGGAAAATAAAATAAAATAAAATAATAATAAGAAATAATAAAAAAGAATATTCGAAATATGGAATTACATATCTTGTCTCCATTTACAATTGCATGGCTTGCTCACTTTTAAATTAATCACACTCACCCATAAACTTAAACTAAATAATATACATATTAACCAGGAAAAGAAAAAAAAAAGTTTCACCTTTCTGCAACTGATGAACAAAAGAAGAAGAATTCAAGAAAAGATCGAAGTAAATGTGAATATCAAACCGAATCGGGACTCGTGAAAAAAAAAAACGTAGTTGTACGAGGTTACCAAGCGTGCTTTTTGATTGTACGATGAGAATTCTGCATGACAAACACCTTCTTCAAGACTTTGATGAATACTAGGATGCTCGGTTTCTTCCCATCAAACATGTTTCGGTTTGCTTTCGACAACTTCAACGCTTTCACGCAGCTGATTTTAACTTCGCTCCCCGGTGAAGAAACATCCGAACGAATTTGCGCCTTACTCCCACATCCGATTCTCGAGAATTCATCGTTCAAATCCTCCCACAACATGTCCATTTTATCCTCATCTTCCTCTTCATTCTGTACTTCTTTACCTTTACTGTTTTTGGGGTTTTCTCCGGGAGAAGCGGCGGCGGTGGAAGTGGAGGAGCACCGCCAGAGAGGCGGTGATTCGATGAATTCCGGTGGCGAACCGGTGGCGGTGATTTGGAAGCTGAAGTCTTCTTCTGCAGCAGTAGTAGTAGCCATGAGTTTGTAATAAAGAGAGGGGTAGAGGGGGAATGAAATGAAATAGTGTGATGGTGGTTGAGAATGGAAGGTATGGTTGTTTGATTATGTGTGTAAGAGTTTATTAGTTCAACTTCTACAACTTGTTGCACTAATAACTTGTTTACATCAAGGATAAGGGAACTTAGTAGGGCCCACAAAATTATGAAGAAAAAAGAAATATTGTTTCAAAATAGATCACCTTATTTTAATCAAAATAGTGTAATAACTTTCAAAATTATGAAGAAAAAAAAATGAGCTATTATTTCGGTTTATATCGGAATCGCAAATTCGACACCCCCTAATCCATTCATACGATTAAGTTCTCACAAGACTGCATCAAACGAGCATCATCGACATGAAATGAAAATGGGAACAAAAAACCTTGGTTTAGTACCATAAACAATCACTACATGTTGTTATCGAGCAGAATTGATCGACAAAAAAAACTGAACTCAGAATTCGATAGCCTCAAAGACCAAATATTCTCGGTAGAAACCATACAAAAAAAACACTTCTAAATAGAGATATATAATAGTGTATCGTCTACATAAAAAATTAACCACCAGTGAGTCACACATAATTGGTTCAAATATATTTCGCGTGATCCTTGATAATTGCGCACTTTCCAAGAATATCGGCTTCTCGATTCTTCTATAAAGAACCATAGATTAACGAGATAAGCTAAAAAACGGCTTCAGTCTTCAATGACATGGGACATGGATTTTAAAAAGTCAAATCTTTAGGATCCTCAATTATCTTAGACAGTGTTTGCAAGAAAGCTGCCAGGTCAGCACCGTATATCACACGGTGATCTGCAGTTACGTTGACCTAGAAAAAATCGAAATTTAGTTAAGAGAATGAAAATTATGTAAAAGTAAAAATTCGCCAGTTGTAATGAATGTGATTGTACTGTACCTGCATTTGAGTTTTCATGCCGATTCTACCATCCTTAGTACCGACAACAGTGGGTTGAGAAGCTCCAACAGCCATAATTGCACCCTGTGGAAAAAAAAAATGCCGTAAGTACGGTACAAGTACAGTACATTTAATAAGTTGACATGCAAAAAGTCCAAATTATCGGGAATATAATTTCAAATACTCACAGTTCCTGGTGGCAAGATGGCATCAAAACGGTCCACCCCAAACATTCCGAGGTTAGATAGAGTAAAAGTGCCTGTAAATTATAAAAAAAAAATGATAATGGTAAGCAGAAGCATGTAAGAAAAGGGATGTTAAAAAGGATTTTCTTTTGGTGCATGTGTGCATTTAAATTAATCAAGTTACCTGTAGTGTATTCGTTTGGTTGGAGCTGCTTTGCGCGTGCCTTGTCAACTAACTCCTTCCACTTTCTTGATAGCGTATATATGTCAACCTAAGACAAGTATAACGACAAAAACGAATTAATGCAAGAAGCTACAGAAAAGGGTAATGAAAATCATAACCTTACACAAATTTGAGGAAACAAAATGAGGTATGGTCAACCTTGTCGGCATCTTGGAGGACAGGTGTAATCAAACCACCATCGATGGCTACCGCTACTGCAACGTTGATATGAGTGTTATATGTAAAGCTCTTGCCATCTCTGCAACTAGAGTTCACGATAGGATGTTTGACCAAAGCAAGAGCCGTTGCCTTGGCTAGCAATGCTGTCATTGTCACTCCTTTCGATTTGATCTGAAACATATTTATAAAGATTACAACTAGCTAAACAATGTCAACAAGAAAAATCGAAAATAACTATTTCCTATGTTCTACTGATTTTATATGTTTCTTCAATAGAAATTCCACAAAAGTCAAAACCGTTTCGTTCATTTCATTATAACATAATCGCCTGGTTTACTATAACCGTCTGCAAATCACTGACTGGTAAACTAATAAAGCAATCGATTTACAACTTTTATGAAATTCAAAGTAGTCACCGGAGACTCCTATTACACATTATCCTGAGTCATATTTGCCATTTCAACCTAAAAAAAATCATTTTTGTACAAGAACTGAACATATCTACACAAATCCGTAATATTTTGAGAAATATAACAATTGAAAAAAGACGCGTGACAATCTAGTCAAACAAGCATTACCTTCTTGTACAAAGCATCGAGCGCATCTGTGGTAAAAGTATACCCCACTCGGAAAGTCGGCACAGCCAAGCTCTCCACCATATTCCTGCTCACAGCGCCCTGCATTGTAGTGAACTGCACCACAGACCCCAACTCGACACCACTCGGCTTAGGTGGCTCACTGGCCTGCACTTTAGCACCACCACCGCTCAGTTTTGCAGCAGCCAAAACAGCCTCCACGTCTTTAGCCACCACCCTCCCGTTCGGCCCACTCCCAAATACTCCCTTCAAATCCACCCCGAAATCCTTGGCCAATTTCTTGGCATAGGGGGAAGCCACTACTCTTTTCCCACCTTCAGATGCCGGATGCTCAGCAGATCCCAATGCATTAGTTCCGACACTAGCTTTCACAGCAGGAGCCGGGCTCGGCATTTCATCGAACACCTTCGGGGCATCACTAGTAGGAGCAGGTGGCGCTGGTGCAGCAGGGGCGGAGGAAGATGATTTCTTCGATTGAGCAATTGCGAGGGCAATTTCTTCCTCGGTCTCTGCAAGCAAGGCAATGGTGGATCCGACAGCAGCGGAGAGACCTTCGTCGACAACAATGGCGGCCAAATACCCATCGTAAAACGACTCCACATCCATATCCGCCTTATCAGACTCAACCACCACGACTGACTCGCCCTTGGACAGCTTATCGCCCTCCGATTTAATCCAGCTGACGATTTTACCCTCCGTCATCGTGGAGCTGAGGGCCGGCATGAAGATTTCGCGGATCTTGGATTGGACGAGGAGGGGCGTCCGGGGGAGTGGGGATGCGCATCCGGGACGGCGGCGGAGGGACGGCGGAGCGGTGGGGATGAAGGAGGAGTGGAGGAGGTGAGAAGACATGGTTTATGGTTCACAGAGTGTGAGAAATTCGAGGAGAGAAATGCACAAGTGTTTGATGAAATGATTGAAATTGTAGTTAAGAGGGGAAAAAAAACTCAAAAAGAGAGCGGAAATCTCGAATGCATCGAAGGAAGGAGGCGGAGCTTTCAAGAATCAAACCAACTTTTACCGGTATTGCCAAGCCGACTGGTTGACAGTGGTGAGTGTGTGAACTGTGTGTATAATTAATTGGCTATTTCGTTTTTTTTTTTTTTTTCCTGCAATTTAATTTGTTTATATTTGTTGTGAAAAAATACTATATAATTATATCCGAGGGATCATATCGAAATTAGTACTTTCGTAAAAAAAACATTGTTTTCGGAAGTGAAAATTAATTATATTCCAAAATAATTCAGAACAATTGAAAACCGGAATATCGTAATTTATAATGATTTTTTTTTTTGCCCGAAATCGAAATCGAAATTGAAAGGAAATAAAATTTTCCATTTTTTTTTTCACATATCACAAATAGTATAGAAAATACATTATACATTTTTTGTTTTTTGATTTTTTGAAAATTAAAATCAAATCGAAATTAGAACCACATATATATTCCAGTTTCGATCCAAATAAATTCGAAAAAGCGAAAATCATGGGATCTGGAATGAAAAAATATTTTTTGAAAATAAGAAAATTTGCATTTAAAGCGACGGAATTTGAAATTTCGTTCCAACTTCCACCCGTAATTTCACTTTTCAATGACCTTCTAAAGTTGTTAAAAATAATGAGAAAGTTGTTTTTTATTCTTTCTCAATAATAAAAATAATAATTCATATCTTGTTTTCTTAAATTCGAAAATATATTCAAATAAATTCGAAAAAGCGAAAGTCGGACTTTTGGAATTTGGAATGAAAATTATTTTTTGAAAATCTGAAAATTTGTATTTAAATCGACGGAATTTGAAATTACATTCCAATTTCCACCCATAATTTCAGTTTTCAATGGCCTTCTAAAATTGTTAAAAATAATTAGAAAGTTGTTTTTTTTTTTTCTCAATAATAAAGATAATAATTCATATCTTGTTTTTTTAATCTCCTTTTTTCTGTGATATAATTCGTAATTAATTAATGACTTAATGTAGTCAAATATTAGAGAAGATTGAAAATAATATACTACATAATCTAAGGGACGTAAAAGGAACCATTAATAAGTTGAAGGGTCTTACTGCAATTACCCGAAATAATACACTCATCAAAAGCGCTTTTTCAATATTAGTCGTATAGTAAAAACGCTTTAGCGTTATATCGTCATCGTCAACAATATAGGCAGATAAATTCGAAGGGATAAAGAAAAAACTTCAGAGCTATTGAGCATGGCGGAATTGCTGGAAATTAGTAAACTTTCTAATTTCAGCCCTTCCTTTCGTTACCTAAATTCCCCCACAGCCCTCGCCCGTATTCCAATTTTCATTTCGGTACCAAATTCGAGGGCCCAAAACGCAAAATCACGGAAATTCATCAAACCCAGACGCTCAGCAACATCTTGTAATCAAGCAGCTGTTGAAAATGAGGTTTTGAGTGTAAATGGTATTAGGGTTTCAAGAAATAGGAGGGTTTTCTTCTTGGATGTGAATCCACTGTGTTATAAAGGGAGCACTCCCAATTTGCTTTCATTTGCTCATTGGATTTCCCTTTTCTTTTCCCAAGTCAGCCTCGATGATCCTGTCATAGCTGTAAGCCTCCTTTTACTGTGTGTATGTGTGTTTTTTTTTCTGTGTATTTTGAGTAAGTATGATTGTACGTTGATTATTTGCATTGTGTGTTTTGTGTGTGTGTGTGTGTGTATTTGAGAAAGTATGATTGTACATTGATTATTTGCATTGTGTGTTTTGTGTGTGTGTTTGTGTGTGTGTGTGTGTGTGTTTGTGTGTGTGTGTATTTGAGAAAGTATGATTGTACATTGATTATTTGCATTGTGTGTGTGTGTGTGTGTGTGTGTGTGTGTGTGTGTGTGTGTGTGTGTGTGTGTGTGTGTGAAAGTATGATTGTACCTTGATTTGTTTGCATTAGGTTATAGATGGGGAGAAAGGCAACGAGTACCGAAGAAAACTACTACCGTCGTACAAAGCGAATAGACGAAAAATGCTGCATCGATTCCCTTCTGTGGAGAAATCTCCAGTGACTTCCGTCGAACGATCGCATAAACTCGTCATAGATGTTCTTAACAAATGCAATGTCCCAGTGAGTAAAGCTTCACTGCTCGTCGCGTTAACGCTGAAAAAAATTATACGTTGCGGGTCTAGAAAATCTTGATTAATTAGTTACTCAATTTCTTGCAACCGTAACTTGCAGGTTGTGAAGATCGAAGGGCACGAAGCGGATGATGTTGTTGCGACACTTGTCCATCAAATTCTACCGAAGGGTTATCGAGCTGTGATTGCTTCTCCGGACAAAGATTTCAAGCAACTTATATCGGAAGATGTTCAGATGGTTATACCGTTGCCCGAGTTAAATAGATGGTCGTTTTACACTCTAAAGCACTACATAGCTCAGAACACTTGCGATCCGCAGTCCGATCTTAGCTTAAGTAAGCATCTTTTTTTATATTTTATATTGTGTCACGTCGTAATTACATTTTGCTAGAACTATCGAATAAACAAACATGAGGATCGAGATTCAAGATTCTTATTACATTATATGAGGATCGATAAGTTCATACATGATATCTTTATTAGTGATTTCGTTTTTTTTTTTTTAATTATTATTTGAGTAGGATGCATATTGGGTGATGAAATAGATGGTGTACCCGGTATACAGCATTTTGCTCCGGGTTTCGGTCGAAAGACTGCTTTAAAGCTCTTGAAAAAACACGGGTCTTTGGAAAATTTACTTAGTGCAGCCAGTGTGAGATCTGTGGGCAAACAGTACGCACAAGAAGCCCTAACAAAATATGCCGATTTTTTACGTAAGAATTACGAAGTTCTTTCCTTAAAAAGGTAATCACCGTTAAAAAACGATGCAAAGATTTAATTTTTTTTTTCTGTTACTTTCGTAAAAGGCTTCACATTTGACGCTCGCGGATTGCGTTTTTGCAGGGATGTTGATATCCAGATTGAGGAGCAGTGGCTATCTAAGAGAGACGAACGAAACGATTCAGTAATTTTATCCAGCTTTGTCGACTTTCTGAGTAAACCTCGGGATCTTAAATGGCAGAATAAATCCCATTTAAATGGTAAGCTAATAAATAATACTTATGCTTCCCGTTTTCTTGATTTTACTCGCACTAGTTTCCCAAGACGGACATTCTATAATTGTAGCCACTAACTAATAAAACATCATTTGAATATTTACTTCATAGGCTTGAAAACAGTGACATAGTAGAGACGTAGCATACCATGTAGCAACACTACCTACCGAAGAAATGTTTGAAAAAACGAAGAATGATGATGACGTGGCGAAGAAACCAGTACTATGAAGTTTCTCGATAGGGTAAGCTCCACTTCTCGACCCCCCACCCCCACCCCCACCCCCACAAGAATGTTGTTGCCTGAATAATATGCTTTCTTGATAGGCATCAATCAGCAGAGCAGAGGATGTGCACATTAAGAAGAAGTCGCTTAGTCGAACTTTGAAAACGAACGTGTATTTTCTTGCATGGATTTGTACCGTATATGCACTACTACCCTTCGTCGGGGCAGTTAGGCGTGATTCTGAGTATTATAACATACACTACCAGTTATCTAACTGAATCTTGATTTCTCAGACATCAATTGCTATTATTTTGTTCAAAAATGTTTTTTTTTTTTTTTCAATTTTTTTTTTAAATAAAAAATTCAAATGATCATCAACCATAAACTCTTTGGGGGGCCATGAATTAAATTCTCAAAACCCATAAATCTCTGTCACCACAAACACAAGGCAAAAGCCCACCACAAACATATATTATTATTTTTAATATTTTATTTGGAAGGAATAGAGGCCAACATATATTATGAATTAGGATTATTATTATTATCAAATAATATCCACAAATACACTTAGTAATTAGTAAACACAAAAACTAAAGAATAATTCAGAAAAAAAAAAAAAAAAGATAAAAAAAATCCCATTAGTAATAAATAAATAAAAAATGAACCCGGTTCAATAGAGTACAGACAACTCGGGCCGGTTCAAGAAATTGGTTGAGATAAAGTGAAAACCAAATTATTATCCACCAAAAATGATCCTGGATTCTTGATGCTTCAGAAGAGGTTCAATCTCTGCACTCATAATTTCTACTAACACATAAACTTTTTAAAGAAAATTAAAAAAGGTAGAAAAAAGAGAATGATAATCCAGTGCTCCTTCTCACCTCCTCTGCAACACTGCTTCAGAACCGCCATTTTTATAAGACCAAGAAACAACCCTCACTCCCCTATTTCCTGTGCTTTTAATGAAAAATCTCTCCTTTTCTTTTCAAGAAAGCCCACAAAGTTGAAATTCACTGTGCCCAGATTTTCCCTTCAGGTATTAACTTCGTCTCTGCTCTGTGTATGTGGTGGTGGTGGGTTGGGGGGGTAGGGTGGGGTGGGTTGGGGGTGAGCTGAATTAGTGTATTGGGATTTTTTATTTTTATTTTTTTTGTATTGTTATTTGAAGTTCTCAGATATGTTTATTTTGTATTGGTATTGCATGTGTTATGATGTTTATGGAATCTTTCACTGATTCTTTCTGCACTGTGAACTTAATTTTAGCTGTTTTCTGGTATTTTTTAATTATATATATTTCTGATTTGATGAACTCAATTGGCAACTACCCAAGTTTAGTTATGTGATAAGATTAGAGTGATTGATTGGTTAAACATCTTCTCCTAAGCTAATTACATAACGAAACTATATGATCGAACCTAATCTCGTACGAGCCGAGCCTTCGTAAAATGGGCTTCGGTTGTAACATTTGTTGTCCTCGAGTGATGAAGAACGACCTCTCGATTCTATATAGCGTAGAACTAAGAGTGGTCAAATATATTTACCAGCAACCACTAAAATAATCTGATTACACTTGTCGATATTGATTAACGTAGGTACTTAAAAAGAAAAACGAGAGCTGTTCATCGTCGACATTGACAGAAGTTGAAGGTACAAAATTGGATAAAGTTCTTGTTGTTTTTATCTTTTGTTAATTAATTTTGCGAAGCCCGTCTTTTGTGGTTGACTACTGAATGGTACGAAGCTAAAAAAAAATGACCGATTTTATTTCAGAAGCTTCGTGGAAGGTGTCGGTCGGTGAAGGCGTACGAAAGGGAACTCCGCTTTTTGTTTCCACTGTTTTGTGTTCATCGCTTGCATGGTTGACACCTGTACAAACGGCACAAGCAAGTGAATATGTAAGAGCAAATGCGATGTACGAGGTCGGAGAGTTCTTTGAATTGGGAATCCAGCTTTCGTACTTGCTTCTACTTCTAGCTTTGCTTGGTGCTGGAAGCTTCTATGTCATTCGTCAAGTCCTAGTTCGTAGAGAGCTCGATCTTTCTGCAAAAGACTTACAAGTTAGTGCTTACGTTTCGTTTTCTTTTATTTTTCTCCCCAGTAATAACCGGTTTGCTATGGTCTGAGGTCGGGGTGGAAAGCGCACGGACAACACTTTCGGAAAAAATATCCGAATTTTTTTTGGAAGTGGTAACTAATTCAAATTAAGTTCCAGAAAAAAATTGAAATAAAAAATCGAAGAATGAAAAAAGTTGTTCCAAAACCAAAAAAAAAATTGGATCAGAATCGGTGGAATTCGGAAAATTCCAATTTTTGGTAACGTAAAATGTAAAATACATAATAATCTTGATATTATAAGTGTAGTTTTTGGGGCAAAAAAAATTTTGGAATTTCCGGAAATTAAAATCGGATCGGAAATCAAAATCTCATACATATTCCAATTCCAATCCAAAAAAAAGGGAAAAAAATTGGAAATTATAATGTAAATACTATTCCAAAATCGGAAATTTTTGGATCGTAATCGGCGAACATTGGAAATTTTGTTCCAATTTCCACCCCTACTTTGATGTCTTGGGATATCTTTATCCGGCTGTAACTATTGTGTATCTCTCTCTCTCTCTCTCTCACACAAACACACACACTGGTGACTGTGCAGGAGCAAATCAGGAGCGGTGAGGCTAACGCGACAGAGCTGTTTGAACTCGGTGCAGTGATGTTGAGAAGAAAGGTTTATCCAGCTGCCACCAAATACCTTCGTCAAGCAATCGATAAATGGGACGGAGATAATCAAGATCTTGCACAAGTACAAATTATTTTTCTTCGAAATTCCGAATATAATCACTTTATCACTTTCTTGATATATTATCTCATCCCAATTTTTTTTTTTATTAACCAGGTTTATAATGCACTTGGAGTGACTTACGTTCTCGATGAAAAAGTCGAAAAGGGCATCGCCCAATTCGAGACGGCCGTGAAACTTCAGCCAGGTTACGTAACCGCATGGAATAACTTAGGCGATGCATATGAAAAAACCAACGACATAAAATCCGCTCTAAGGGCATTTGAGGAAGTTGTACTTTTCGATCCTAATAACAAGATTGCTCGTCCAAGAAGAGACGCACTCAAGGCGAAAGTAGACATGTACAGAGGTGTTTCTGTGAAAACGATCAAGAAGAATAAACTTGCGTAAGTGATTGTTTATACGCAAATACACACACATCCATGTTGGTGTGTGTAGATCAACGGTTATGATGCACACCGTCAATTTATTATCGACTTTTTTCTTTTCTTTTTTGTAGGGATAAGATTTGATTGGAAATGGAAAGCAGCATGGGAATAAAGAAGTTGATGAAAGATCCAAAATGACGACATCTAATTTTATTTTATTTTTGTTCTCGGTTTGATTTTATTCCTTTTGGTGTACAACTTATTGTCCAAATCAATTTGTATAAACAAAACTTAGGTCGGTGTTTGCAAAAGTTTATTTAAAAGCATAAAGTGCGTAAGTGATTGTATTTGTGAGTTAAGTGGCCATTAAGTGCTTATTTTCAAAAGTTTGGGGGTGTTTGTAAATATTCTGCAAAATGAACTTAAACAGCATAAGTTGGCCTATGGGTGTTTTTTGCAAACATTTAAATACAAATTATGTCATAAAAAAAAGGGTAAATTTCACTTTACCCCTTTGTACTTTGGCTGAATATCACTTTATCCCATTGTACTCTCAATTGCATCGATTTGCCCTCTTGTACTTTGGTTCGATATCATTTTACCCCCTTCTACTCTCAATTCATCGACTTGCACCCTTGTACTTTGGCTCGATATCACTTTACCCCATTATACTCTCAATTGCATCGGTTTGCCCCATTACTTGAAAATTTGTCTCAATGTGACCCTCGCCGTTAGTTTTCAGACCTTTGACCTTAACACCGTTTGATTTAAGTATGAAAATTACTAAAATGTCACCCTTCCAGTTTAAATAATTATTAAAAAAAAAAAAACAACAACAACAAAAAGTAAAATAATAAAAAAATCAAGGCAGCGAGAAAACATAGTCCACGACGCCAGCCATAATTTTTATTTTATTAATAATTATTTAAACATGGAGGGGTGGCTTTTTTGTGATTTTTAAACTTAGATCAAACGGTGTTAAGGTCAAAGGTCTGAAAACTAACAGCAATGCCACA